GGGAAATTGTTTTAATAAAGCTACTTCCATTCCCATCCCTTTATTTAGGGGCTGTCAGGATTTACAAAGATAGAAATGCAAGTTAGACATAGAATCAATGCTGAACCCTCCTTCATTCTAATAATGCCATTTATCCAAGGATATATAAACTAATCAGAAAATAATCTCATTAAAAGACTTTAAAAAAAAAGACTTTCAAAAACTTTCCATTTAATAAGTGTCAAATTTTTAAATGTATTTATATTTTGATCAACTACATAAGATAATTTAAACTCAAAATAGAAGAAATTTAGCACAGCTTTAAGATCACAAGAAAATAAAATTTTAAATGTATATATTCATTTCTGTTGCAAAGATGTAGTAGGACAATGTGATCGATATGACTTTCAAGCATAAAAACACATAGTAAAATTTTAAGGCAACCAATTCCAGAAATATGAAAATCAAATCTAATGAACTTGACCCCTTGTCCCTCAAACTAGCCTCCTATTCCCAAATATTGTAAACTTCTCTGGGGAAGGCATGCGCTGGTGGTGGTGGTTAGAAAATGGTCACCTTGTGATCACTTAGTTTAGCTTAGTGCCTGGTCAGTTTGTACAGTAAGTCTCACTACTTTTACATTTGTCCTGTGTGACAGTACAGACTAAAACATACACTTTCTCCCTCATTATTATTCTAATAATATGACCTCACGTTTTCACAGTTCCATTTTTTTAGGTCCCATGTAGGTATTTATGGTAGGGTTTTGCTATTGTTACATTAGGATAAAGACTTGTGAGGGAATTGCAATGAAAATATAATTTCTTTTTTTTTGAAAATATAATTTCAAGAAAAAACAAATATTTGAAATTTTAAATATTTGTGTTATTTTCTGTAATGGTTAATGGTATTAAATTTGACGATATCTCGACTCTGTTGGGTATACCTGAAAGAGTAATGAACATTTTGTTGTAAAATGTCAATATTTATACTATGCTGGGAATTATATCCCTTTGCCAATATTTAAATGTAGGGACAGCTTTAAGTATAATGTTGATAGTTCCCTTTTAAAACTAGTTTTTAAAAAAGTATTAGGGAGTACTTGCACACAAAAGTTTGAAAAATCACTGCTCCAGACAAAGGAAAAGTAAGCAATGACCTTTTCAAAGCCAAAGATAGTTGGGAGCATATTTTTTTTAATCAGCAGTGCATAGACTGAACTAGGAAGGAGAACTTAACATTTGTTTGCTTTTCCTGGCACCTAGAGGGAAAGCCAAGTATAGGCAGGGATTAAACAGTACTGCCTTAGTCAGTCTTTAAAAATGTATTTATGGTGCATAGTAACAGGGAAGAGTAGGGAACAGCCCATATCTAGAACTCTGCCCACATAACAACTCCTTTCTCAGAGAGTAGTCAACACTTATGCTCTCCACCCTTTGCAATTTCAGAAAAAGGTACTAATCTTATGGAATGTATTTTACCACCATTAATTACTTTGAATTGAGCATCCCTTATGTGTTAGGTTCTGAGGACACACTATATTAAGAACCTGCACTTGAAGAATTTACAATCTTGTTGGAGGGACATAAAAAACATGGACATAAATATGAATCTGTGCAATGAGTGAACAAATAGAGGAACGTATTGCCAAAGGTCTGGGTAATCTGGAAGCAAGAAGGCTGGAATCAAAGTTGGTCTTTTCAAAAAACCGGTGAGAGCACAAGATTGATAGGCAATTTACTGGGGACTGAAACAGGCTGGTGTAGGTATGATGCAGGTATGACGGTGAGTAGAATAGTGATTAGCCAAGAACAGATGGCTGCTATAAAAGCTGGAAGGTAGCTGGAAACCACACTGTGGAGGGGCCTAAATGCCAGCAGAGACCTGCATTTTACCCTAGGAGAAACAGGAAGGTTTTTGAGATCAATGTGCAACAAGGTAGCGTATTTCATTGTTTTTGTTCTTTAGAAATACCTTCCAGTCTTCCCCACATTTCCCGTAAGGAACATGCAAAGCATAGTTTATCCTGCAATATGGTGCCAAAGAAACATAGGGGGTGAGGTCATGGGCTTTGCAATGAAGCTCTGGGTTTGAATCCTCTCTCTGCCATTTAATTCTACTATTTTGTTCTCTTGTTCAACAGGGGGGAATAAGGATTCATATTGTAAATTTGTTATTGAGCATACTGAGTCCACAATGATTTTTCAGTTTTCATCCTAAAGAAATTCAAATTTTCCTTGATAACACTCACTCAGAAATTCAAAAGCAGATCTCGCTCAATACCTCAGAATCATCAGCCCTTTACCCAAGTATTAAAATAGGATCCATAAAACAATTACCCCCACCTCTCAGCCCCTTGTCAGCCTCACTGCAGCCTTCACCTTGAGAACATAGTGAAAAAATTTTATAATAACCCTTTCCTTCCCCATTGACTCCATCCCCAACAAGTCTTGCAAGTTTGTTACCTTTGATGTTGAGTGTTTCATAATTCCATTCAAAAGGAACACCGAATTACTTTCTGACATGTAATATTTAGTACAATCAGATATTGAAAAGTCTAAGCTGCAGCAAGAGAACACTCATCCCATCCAGAATAACCTATTTGTTGTCAGAATATCAAATGAGCTGAGGTCTCTAAGAGGAGGTGGTGTAGCAGAGGAGTAAGGTGCAAAGACTCGAGTTTGACTGCCTAAGTGTGAAATTCATATTAAGTATGGGAATTTCATACTTAATCTTTGCCAAGGTAACCTCTCTATACCTCAATTTTTTCATCTGTAAAATGGAGTTAATGCCTTCCCTACAGGATTCTCATAATAGACTGAAGTGCTTTCACAGTATTCAGTGATAAGCACCTGAACATCTAGCTCTAGGTTATCATGGTACCACAGTTGACTTCTTATTTATTGATGGAGCTTCTACATTTCTATAGACCAAGGAGGTAGGAGTAGGCAAACTTTTCCTGCAAAGGGCCAGGTGGTAATGTTTTCAACCTTCCTGGCCAGATGGCCTCTATTCCAACCACTCTGCTACTGCAACCCAAAAACAGCCAGAGAGGACAAGGAAATGAGCATGGTAGCTGTGTTCCAGTAAGACTTTACAGAAACAGAAATTTAATTTCACATTATTTTCATATTACAAAGTAATATTATCCTTTTGACTTTTTTCAACTATTTAAGAATGTAAAAACCATAGGCTTATGCCTATGTTTATGTTTATGTTCATAGGCTATACAAAAATAGACGGCAGGCTGGATTTGGCCAATGGGTGGTAGTTTACCCGCAGCTCTAGACTCAAAAGTGTATCGGCCTTGGAAGCTTTGTGGGGGCAGGGAAATTTGAAATACGGGTTTGTGGTGCAGAAGAAAGAGGAAACTTCTAAGTATATAATAGAAAAAGAACTACTTAATGCTGCCATTCATTTACTAACACTGGACTCAACCACGTGCAGAACATTCCTGGGATCCCACACTGTTGGCATCAAAGATGTAGAAGTCTCAGTCCCTGCTCTCAAGGAGTTTATATTCTCCACAGTGTCTTAGAAACTAAGTCTGCCTTCAAAATACAACATATCCTATTAGCATTCACAGCATGTAGTTTCTTTGGTGAGCCCACCTGCAGCCTACACCAAACAGCAGTTATCTTTACTGCTCCCTCTCAATAATTTCACGATCCACTCTTTCCCTCTCCCCCAAATTATTGTTTTGCATGACCATTTGGGGAGTAACATTCATAGTGATGTTACTAAATAAAAACAAGTTGGGACTCCTGGGTGGCACAGTGATTGAACATCTGCCTTTGGCTCAGGTCGTCATAATCCCAGGGTACTGGGATCCAGTCCCATCATCAGGCTCCTCGCAGGGAGCCTGCTTCTTCCTTAGTCTATGTCTCTGCCTCTCTGTGTGTGTCCCTCATGAATAAGTAAATAAAATCTTTAAAAGTATATATATAAACAAAACTAAAAAGCAGGTCAACTGGTCCTACCTTTATAAAAAATGACCATTTAACCTAGTCTCCAAAGATACATTTTTTTAGGAGAGATTTTATTTATTTATTCATGAGAGACACAGAAAAAGAGGCACAGACTTAGGCAGAACGAATATCAAATTAGAGAGGAGAGTGGAGACTCAACAGAGCAATTACAAATGGTTAGGAAGAAGGTAGGCAGAGGGAGAAACAGGCTTCATGCAGGGAGCCCAATGTGGGACTCCATCCCAGGACACCGGGATCACAGCCTGAGCAGATGCTCAATAGCTGAGGCACCCAGGGGTCCCAACATCTCCCTTTTAAAAGGTAATTCATTAGTGGCTCCTATGGACTTTCATTTCAATCCAGGTAGAAATCTGTTCCCAGGAGGCAGATTAAACAGGACCATTGTTAGGCAAAAAGGACACTTCAGAAAAATATTTTTTCACAGCTTATGTTTTGAAGTGCTTTATCCAAAAGAACATGGAACAAACAAAACACAGACAAAATTACTCTGGCATATATCTCAGTTCGAAAGATCATTAATTTGAAAATAATACAGCAGAAACCAGTATGCCAGTATGTCTTAACAAGTGAATATCAGAAAGCCAAGAAATTAACATAGCTAATGATTAAGAAAAAAACAAAGGGTTGTTTGTAAATAATAATTAATAAATATTAATATCATAATGGTAAATAGTATACATTAAAATGTTAATAGTAAAAAAATGACAATAAAATATTACTAATATTGCTGATTTTCTGGAATCCTAAATGGCATTCGTCTCCTAAGCAGTTTTTTTTGCAAGAATTAGCAATACTGAATACCTCAAGGATAAGAGAACACAACAAAAGTCAAACCACAGAAAGCAGTACTCCTGATGTTTAAGATCATCTCATCAGAACAGGCATGATTAGTCTCAGCAAAATCCAAACACGAAGTCCATCTGATAGAAGGAATATCAAATTAGAGAGGAGGGTGGAGACTCAACAGAGCAATTACCAATGGTTAGGAAGAGGGTGGTGTCTGCAAATGGAGGGGCTAAGAGGTGACTAAGGCTCATCTCCCCCACAAAAATAACAAAAATGATAAACAACTAATTACAAAATGACAAAAACAGGGAAAACTATGTTTCCCTAAAACAGGGAGAACTCTGGAGGACTAAGGAGCAGCAAAAACCCTGCAGAGCTAAAAACAAAACAAAACAAAACAAAACAAAAAAAAAAAAACAAAAACAAAAACAAAAAAAACATGGGAAGGGCAGCCCCCCGGTGGCGCAGCGGTTTAGCGCCACCTGCAGCCCAGGGTGTGATCCTCCTGGAGACCCTGGATCGAGTCCCACGTCAGGCTCTCTGTATGATGCCTGCTTCTCCCTCTGCCTGTGTCTCTGCCTCTCTCTCTCTCTGAATAAATAAATAAAATCTTTAAAAAACAAACAAACAAACAAACAAAAAACATGGGAAGCCATCTGGAAAAGCACCGGAAGCATTTTAGCTGTGTCACCTCCTCTTGGTACAGAGCAGCTGGGCACCATGAGGGGTTCTCACGGAGATTCACCTCATGGGAAGGAGGAGAGGGAAACCTCAGCAAGCCTCACTGCTGCGGACGTTTTGCAGCCTTTGCTGCTGAAGACCTCACAGTCTTCCACCAACACCAATTCTAGCTGCTATATCTCCTCCTCCCCCAGAGGCCTCAGTTGTGGCTACGCCCTACTCTCAGAGCTCTGGATGCCACAGCACCTTGCCATGTACAGGACCAGAGCTGCTAGTGCTCTGTGCTCTACCCACTGTGTTGCAACTTTGTCTCTGGGACACCTGTTGCTGCTCTGCGCCCTGCTCTGAAAATCCCAGGTCACGCTTTCACTGCCAGCACTGGGGCCAGGCTGCACTACTCTGAGATGGGCCCCCACAGGTCCCAGATCACGGCTCTGAAATCACCATAGTGGCTAAGCTTCCACTCTTCTGCAACCTTCCCCCTGGGTCCCAACATGTGGCTTTAGTGGGCCTCCACTAGGGATGTGCTGCTGTGGCTGCTCTTCTAAGACTGCCTCCTGGGCCCAGAGTTAGAACTCAGACCCACCATCCCTAGGCCATGTTGCTACTGTACTCTACTCCCTTGGGCCCAAGCCACTCCCGCACCCTGTCATTAAGGGCCTGTGCTGCTGTGTCTCCCTCCCCACCACTCCACCTGAGTCACTGAAAGGAGCCCAACTAGCACCCTGGTTTCACAGAAGATCAGCACATACCTGCACCTCAGACACCAATGCTACTGCCAAGTGCACCCCTGCCCACAGACCCAGTTACTGTGGTGGTTCCATATCCATGATCCCAAGACTCCACTCTACCCCTGCTCAGAGTGCCAGGATGGCAGACCAAGTGCCAGGAGGTATGCCCTCAGCTAGAAGGGACAGCTTCTCCCATGGGCAAAATGGGGTAACTGAAGGACTCCAGGAGCCTTTTCCTCTAAGGATCCCAATAGCCCTTGCCACCCACAGGACCTCTGCAGTCTTGGCCACAGAAGACCCCTTCAAGTCTGTACCAACACTGACCTTGGCTAATAGGGCTGCACAGAGAGTAAGCCGCTGTGTTTTCCCAGGAACCAAAGATACTGCGCCCCAGCCAGCCAGGGCTCTCACAGCCACCTTCAGGTGAAAGTCTCCCACCAAAGCCAGGCCAAAAAAAAAGCTGGAAGAGGTCACTGCTCCCGCAAAATGTACAGACATCAATGCAAAGCCATCAGAAACATGAAAAAGCATGGAAAGAAGATACCACCAAAGGAACACAATAATTTTCCTGTAACCGAGCACCCAAAATTATAGATCTGTGAGTTACCTGAAAAAGAATTCAAAATAATCATTTTAAGGAAGCTCAGCAAGATTCAAGAGAAATAGGTAACTCAATGAACTCAGGAAAGCAACACATGAACAAAAGTTTGACAGAGATGGGAGTCATAAAAAAGAACCAAACAGAAACTCTGGAGCTGAAGAATACAGTAGTCACTTGTTTTGCATTCCACGGTTTCAATTATCTGTGGTGAACTGTAGTCCAAAAATATGGAACAGAAAATTCCAGAAACAAGTAATTCCTAAGTTTTATATCGTGCCCTGAATGGCATGATGAAATCTCAAGCTGTCCTGCTCCACCCTATTGAAGGTATGAATCATCCCACTGTCCAGCGTATTCACATGGCACAAACTACCCGCCTACTAGTCACCGAGTAGTCACCTCCTTTATCAGATGGGCTGTTGTGGTTTTGAAGTGCTTGTGTCTAAGTAACCCTTATTTTATGAAATAACAGCCCCTAAGGGCAGGACTGGCAAATCAGAGAAGCTAAAGAAAAGCCTTAAAATGCTTCTCGGTGAAAAGTAAAGTTTTCGACTGAATAAGAAAAAAAAAAATCGTAGGCTGAGGCTGCTAAGATCTCCAGTAAGAATTAATCTTCCACCCATAAATTTGTGAAGAAGGAAAAAGAAATTTGTGCTAGTTTTGCTGTTGCACCTCAAACTGCAGAAGTTACAGCCACAGCGTATGATAAGTGCTTAGTTAAGATGGAAAAGGCATCAAATTTATGGTTGGAGGACATGAACACAAAATGTTTTGACTGATGGCAGCATGTTGTGCCAGAAAATACTGAGCCTGTAAAGGCTTCAGGAGACCTGGATGAGGAGCCTCTGGCTCTGAGGATCCCAATGGCCCTTGCCACCACTGCCACACCCAGGACCTCTGCAGAGACAGTGGGAGCTTGGCCCCTCCAATGATGGGGGATCTCCTAAAACAAGTGATGCCAAGCCATTTACCACAAGTAACAGATGGTTATTACATAGATTCAAGAATAAGTTTGGACTAAAAAACATAAAAACTACTGGAAAGACTATGACTAACAATGAAGAAGGTGTTGCTACATGTTTGGTAGAGTTGAAAAAGTTGATTAAAGAGAAAGGATACTTGGGGCACATGGATGGCTCAATAAAGCTCCGACTCCTGATTCTGGCTTAGGTCATGATCTTAGAGTCATGAGATTGAGCCCAGCATCGGGCTCCATGCTGGGTGTAGAACCTGCTTAAGATTCTTGCTCTTCCTCTCCCTCTGCCCCTACCCTCCCCACCAAAAAAGAGAAAGGATACCACCATCCAAAGCAAGTCTTCAACTGCAATGAAATCAGGCTCTTCTGGAAGAAGATGCCCAATAGAACATACCTTCACAAAAGTGCAAGAGGGGTACCAGGGCAGAAAACATAGGACAAGTTAACTCCTACTATGTGTCAACACTTGTGCAAGGCATAGGATAATCCCACGCAGAGCGTACAAAGCAAAGAACCCATGCGCTCTCAAAAACGAAAACAAAAATTATCTGCCCATGTTCTGGCAACATAATCAGAAAGCATGGGTGACAGCTATCTTTTCTCTGGAATGGTTCCACCAGTGCTTCATCCTGAAAGAGAAAAAATACTTGGAAGAGCAAGGGTTGGAATTTAAAGTCCTATTAGTAACAGTGCCAGTACCTGACCATCTTGAATGTTTGCTATGAAAATGAAAATGCTGAAGTTGCATTTTAACCTCCAAATACCTCACTGCTTCAGCCCCATGGCCAGGGCATCATTTGCTTTATGAAAGCCACATACACCTGCCTCGTATTTGATTGCATTCAACCATCAAGTGATGCAGACCCTAATCTGGGCATAACACAGGGCTGGAAATCATTCACTATGCTGATGCAGTAACATTCATCAAAGCTGCAGTGGATGAATTATAACCAGGAACTGTAAATGCCTGCTAGAACTTATCAAGTGAAGTCGTGGTTAATTTTCAAGGCTTCCCAGGGACTGATGGAGAAGTTAGGAGAATCCTTCAGCAGCAAGACAAGTTGTTGAAAGAGGAATTACCAACACTCTTGATGAAGTGAAAGAACATACTGAAGGCCATCACCAAGTGTTAACAAATGAAGAATTAGAAGAACTTCTGGAATCACGTGTAGAAGAGAAGATGAGGGGTGCCTGGGTGGCTCAGTGGTTGACCATCTGTCTTCAGCTCGAGAGCCTGCTTCTCCCTCTGCCTATGTCTCTGCCTCTCTCTGTGTCTCTTGTGAATAAATAAAATCTTTAAAAAAAAAAAAAAGGAAGAGGAATATGAAGAAACTTAAGTAGAACCAGCAATGTAGACAATCCCAAAATTGGCTGATGTATATCAAATTGCACAAACATTAAAGGACAAAATTATGGAATACAATCCTTAGATGAAATGCAGCATTAAAGTCACCCATATGATCACCAAAGGATTATAACCTCTACATCATACTTTGATGAGTTAGAAAGACAATCATTTCTGATTATAATTTTCTTCTAAAAGATTTCAGCAAAAAAACCTTCAACTATTGAGGATCCTCAATCATCAACATTGTCTGTTCCTGATATCCAACCACTGACATCGTTATGGCTCAATGATTCAGGATCATCCAAAACAGATGATCCTCCTTCTGACGTATTGTCAGAAAGTCAACAGTGGCTTAGCACTACTACATCACAGTGCTTATATCATTCACCTCACTTCATCTCATCATATAGGCTCTGTATCATCTTGTATCATCGCAGGAAGAAAGGTGAATATAGTACACTATTTTGAGACGACATTCACATAACCTTTATTATAGCATATTGTTCTAATTGTTCTATTTCATTGTAAGTGACTGTTGTTAATCTTTTACTGTGCCTAACATACAAATTAAACTTCATCATAAGTAAGTGTGCTTAAGAAAAACACAGCATATTTGGGTTCAGAACTATCTGTGTTTTCAGGTATTCACTGGAGGTCTTAGAATGTATCCTCAATGGATAGAGGGGGGACTACAATATGATGAATAAAATAAAAAATGCAAGACAGCTTCAACAGCAGGCTCAAAAAGGCAGAAGAAAAAAATCTGAGGATAAAAATCCTTAATCCAGGGGGAGGGGCAAGATGGCGGAAGAGCAGGGTCCCCAAATCACCTGTCCCCACCAAATTACCTAGATAACCTTCAAACCATCCTGAAAATCTACGAATTCGGCCTGAGATGTAAAGAGAGACCAGCTGGAACGCTACAGTGAGAAGAGTTCGCGCTTCCATCAAGGTAGGAAGACGGGGAAAAAGAAATAAAGAAACAAAAGGCCTCCGAGGGGGAGGGGCCCCGCGAGGAGCCGGGCTGAGGCCGGGGCGAGAGTCCCCAGGACAGGAGAGCCCCGTCCCGGAGGAGCAGGAGCTGCACCAACCTTCCCGGGCGGAAAGGGGCTCGCAGGGAGTTAGAGCAGGACCCAGGAGGGCGGGGATGCCCTCGGGCTCCCGGGGACACTAACAGACACCTGCGCCCCGGGAGAGTGCTCCGAGCTCCCTAAGGGCTGCAGCGCGCACGGCGGGACCCGGAGCAGCTCGGAGGGGCTCGGGCGGCGGCTCCGCGGAGGGGGCTGCGGGGCGGGAGCGCGAATCCACCAGCGCAGGCCCCGGGGCACAGGGCGCCGGGACACAGCCCAGGATCCGGCCTCCCCCGGGACAGGCAGAGGCCGGGAGGGCCCAGGACAGCAAGGACGCTCCTGCCCCGAGCTGAGCAGATCAGCGGCCCCGCCCCGGAGCCTCCAGGCCCTGCGGACGGAGAGCCGAGAGAGCCGAGAGCCCCGAGCCCCGTAGTTCCTGCGGAGGCTGAATCCAGGCTTCCAGAGTTGCCATAGCAACTGCTGCTGTTCCTCCCTGGGTCCCACGGGGTAAACAACCCCCGCTGAGCCCTGCAGCAGGCAGGGGCAGAGCAGCTCCCCCAAGTGCTGACACCTGAAAATCAGCACAGCAGGCCCCTCCCCCAGAAGACCAGCTGGACGGACCAGTGATACTCCCCCGTGTTCCAATACAACTTGTTTTTGGCCACTCTGCACTGAGCAAAATGACTAGAAGGAAAACCTCACTTCAAAAGAAAGAATCAGAAACAGCCCTCTCTCCCACAGAGTTACAAAATCTGGATTACACTTCAATGTCAGAAAGCCAATTCAGAAGCACCATTATACAGCTACTGGTGGCTCTAGAAAAAAGCATTAAGGCCTCACGAGACTTCATGACTGCAGAATTTAGATCCAATCAGGCAGAAATTAAAAATCAATTGAATGAGATGCAATCCAAACTAGAAGTCCTAACGACGAGGGTTAACGTGGTGGAAGAACGAGTGAGTGACATAGAAGACAAGTTGATGGCAAAGAGGGAAACTGAGGAAAAAAGAGACAGACAATTAAGGGACCATGAAGACAGATTAAGGCAAATAAATGACAGTCTGAGGAAGAAAAACCTACGTTTAATTGCGGTTCCCGAGGGCGCCGAAAGGGACAGAGGGCCAGAATATGTATTTGAACAAATCCTAGCTGAAAACTTTCCCAATCTGGGAAGGGAAACAGGCATTCAGATCCAGGAAATAGAGAGATCCCCCCTAAAATCAATAAAAACCGTTCAACACCTCGACATCTAATAGTGAAGCTTGCAAATTCCAAAGATAAAGAGAAGATCCTTAAAGCAGCAAGAGACAAGAAGTCCCTGACTTTCATGGGGAGGAATATTAGGGTAACAGCAGACCTCTCCACAGAGACATGGCAGGCCAGAAAGGGCTGGCAGGATATATTCAGGGTCCTAAATGAGAAGAACATGCAACCAAGAATACTTTATCCAGCAAGGCTCTCATTCAAAATGGAAGGAGAGATAAAGAGCTTCCAAGACAGGCAGGAACTGAAAGAATATGTGACCTCCAAACCAGCTCTGCAAGAAATTTTAAGGGGGACTCTTAAAACTCCCCTTTAAGAAGAAGTTCAAGTAACTCTGAACGTGAATGGGCTTAATGACCCCATCAAAAGGCGCAGAGTTTCAGACTGGATAAAAAAACAGGACCCATCTATTTGCTGTCTACAAGAGACTCATTTTAGACAGAAGGACACCTACAACCTGAAAATAAAAGGTTGGAGAACCATTTACCATTCAAATGGTTCTCAAAATATACCCTAAAAACTACAGAACACTTCTGAAAGAAATTGAGGAAGACACAAAGAGATGGAAAAATATTCCATGCTCATGGATTGGCAGAATTAATATTGTGAAAATGTCAATGTTACCCAGGGCAATTTACACGTATAATGCAATCCCTATCAAAATACCATGGACTTTCTTCAGAGACTTAGAACAAATTATTTTAAGATTTGTGTGGAATCAGAAAAGACCCCAAACAGCCAGGGGAATTTTAAAAAAAGAAAACCATATTGGGGGCATCACAATGCCAGATTTCAGGTTGTACTACAAAGCTGTGTTCATCAAGACAGTGTGGTACTGGCACAAAAACAGACATATAGATCAATGGAACAGAACAGAGAACCCAGAAGTGGACCCTGAACTTTATGCTCAACTAATATACGATAAAGGAGGAAAGACGATCCACTGGAAGAAAGACAGTCTCTTCAATAAATGGTGCTGGGAAAATTGGACATCCACATGCAGAAGAATGAAACTGGACCACTCTCTTGCACCATACACAAAGATAAACTCAAAATAGATGAAAGATCTAAATGTGAGACAAGATTCCATCAAAATCCCAGAGAAGAACTCAGGCAACACCCTTTTTGAACTTGGCCACAGTAACCGGAGAAGGACAAACAGTGTAAGTTCTCATTCATTTGGGGAATATGAATAATAGCGAAAGGGAATATAAGGGAAGGGAGAAGAAATGTGTGAGAAATATCAGAAAGGGAGACAGAACATAAAGACTTCTAACTCTGGGAAATGAACTAGGGGTGGTGGAGGGGGAGGAGGGTGGGGGGTGGGGGTGAATGGGTGACGGGCACTGAGGGGTACACTTGACGGGATGAGCACTGGGTGTTATTCTGTATGTTGGTAAATTGAACACCAATAAAAATTAATTTATAAAAAAAAAAATCCTTAATCCAGAGGATAAAAAAAAGTAGAGAAAAAAAGTGTGGATAGACAGCACAGATTCCGGCCAGAGGAGGAATGGTGGCAAGAGATATGAGCTGGATAGCAGGCTCATCCACCAGGAGGAAGGTAGCAAGGACCACCACTGCTGGGAAGAGAGGATGCTTGGTGTTCATGGTTTAAGTAACCCACACCTTCATCTGCAGTGGACATGGCACTGCCCATGGGAGACTAGCCTCCTTGGTGACCCTGCACTCAGCTGGGCACCCAGAGCACAGTACTCTGCCGCTTCTCAGATCACCATGGGCCAGATGTCCTCCCTTCTTGGCCCCTGAGCTCAGGACAAGGGCCTGATGATCTGCGCTGTAAGGGGGGTTGGGGGGCCCACGACCCTTTGGTGTGCACACTGGTATGTGCACTGAGCAAGAGACAAGGTACAGAAAGCTGCCTTACTGGGGATTCTCTCATTTGGGTCTCACTGTCCCACCCCAACATCCTTTGCTAGAGTTGGGCACCAAGGGCTTTGGAGGACTAGGACCCTCTCCTCTGCCCCCAATCTTGGTGTGCAGGTTGCCCTTTTCTTTGAAATCCACAACCAGCAACCATTGGAAGCCCCTGCTCTGGGCCCACAGGACTGAAGGACTGGAACTTTTATGTTCTTATAGACCCTAAGAATTAGAAAAGGGGACCTGGATTCTAAGCAGCAGAATATCTTTGGCTCAGCCATTGAATCTGGCTTCACAATTCAGAAAGTAAGATTGTAAATGCCTTCCTTACTAGGCTTCAATGGTGCGCCTTCCCTTTAAAAAGTATCATTCACAGGGGTGCCTGTGTGGCTCATTGGGTTAAGCAGCAAACTCTTGATTTTGGTTCAGGTCATAATCCCAGGGTCCTCGGACCAAGCCCTGCCTTGGGTTTCATGCTCAGTGGGGACTCTGGTTAAGATTCTCTCTCTCCCTCTGTTTCTCCCAATTTGTACTCTCTCTCAAATAAATAAATCCTTAAGAAAACTATCATTCATATAAATATTTTTTTAATATTTTTTAAAAAGAGTAAAGAAAGCCTATTTGTACTATGGACATCAACTGAAACAATATTTGCTTTATAGGAGTCTCAGAAGGAGAAAAAAAAAAGAAAGGGATAGAAAACTTATTTAAAGAATAATGCCTAAAAACCTCCCAAATCTGGGGAGATATGATCACCCAGGTAAATGAAACTCATAGATTCCCAAATACAGTCAACCCAAAGAACTCTTTACTGAGATACATTATAATAAAAAAAAATCTCAAAAACCAAAGAAAAAGAATTTTGAAAGCAGCAAAAGAAAAGAAGCCTGATACAGCTATCAGATTTCTTAGCAGAAACCTTAGAGGCCAGAAGAGTGTAGGATGATACATTTCTAAGTACTCAAAGAAAAAACTGTCAACTGTCAACCAAGAATACTTTACCTAGCAAAGCTGTCCTTCAAAAATGAAGGAGAGATGCAGACTTTTCCAGACAAACAAAAACTGAGGGAATCTATCACCATTTGACCTGCCTTATAAGAAAAGCTAAAGAAATGCTTAACCTTTGAAGTTCAGCTGTTGTCAGCTTGCTTACTTACACAAGACTATGGTAACTGAGATGTACTAGGAAAGCCTCATGGTAATCACAAAGCAAAAGCCGCTAATAAATATACAAATGATAAAAAGAAAGCATAGTACTACAAAAATAATCAACTCACAAAGACAGAGAGGAAGTAAGGAAAAAAGGAACTGAAAAACAATCAGAAATCAATTAACAAAATGAAGATAGTAAGTCCTTACCTATTAATAATTAACCTAAAGGTAAATGGTTTAAATTCTCCAATTAAAAGACACAGATTGGCTAAATGGATATAAATACAAGACCTAACTATATGTTGCCAATAAGATGCTAACTTAAGCTTTCAGGGCACTCATAAGCTAAAAGTAAAAGGATAGAAAAAGATACTCCATGCCAATGGAAACAAAAGTAGTTATATGGGAGGAAACACACTTTAACTCAAAAGCTGTAACAATAAACAAAGAAGGTTATTATATAACAATAATGAGGGCCAATTCATCAAGAGGCTATAACAATTATTTATGTACCCAATATTGAACACCTAAATATTAAACAATTATGAATAGATCTGAAAGCAAAAATAAATAGCAATGCAGTAATGGCAGAGGATTTCAATATCTTACTTTTTACAATGGAGAGATCATCTGGACAGAAAATCAGTGAGAAAATAACAGAGTGATAATTTAGACCAAATGGACCTAACAGACATATACAGAACATTTTAACCAATAGCAGCAGAATACACGTTCTTCTCAAGCACACACAAAATACTCTCCAGGATAGATCATATGTTAAGACACAAAATAAGTCTCAACAAATACAGGAAGACTGAAATCATAATCAACTATCTTTCTGACCACAATGGTATGAAATTACAAATCAATGATAGGAGAGCTGGAAAAGTTTGTAAGTATGTAGAAATTAAACAAAACACTTCTGAGGAGCCAACGGATCAAAAAAGAAATCAAGAGAACTAAAAAAAAAAAAATCTTGAAATGAATGGTACATATACAATGGATTATTATTCAGCCATAAAGAAAAGGGAAATACTATCATTTGCAACAATGTGGATGAGCCTGGAGAGCTAAGTGAAATTAAGCCCGATGGACAAAAAATACTGCATGGTATCATTTATATGTAGAATTAAAAAAAAAAAAAGCTAGTATCATAGAAATATAACCGAATGATGGCTTCCAAGGGCTGGGGATGGAAGAGAGAGGGTAATGTAGATCCAAGAGTACAAACTTTCAGTTATAAAGAGTAAGCTCTGAGGATCTGCTGTATAGCAGTGCTGACTATGGTCAATAACATGGTACCGTATACTTCAAAGCTGCTGAAAGTAGACCTTAAACATTCTTGCCACCACCAAAAAACAGTTAACTATATGAGGTGATGTGATTGTGGTAATGACTCCACAATGTATATCAAATCATCACATTTACATTTTAAATATATACACTTACATTTGTCAAATACTCCTCAATAATTTTTAAAAAATGAGAATAAAGCATCACCAAATAAAATATCTGAGTCAAAAGGATACTGACAGCTTATAATGCTGAAGTCTTAAAAAGAAATACAATAGTTTTTCAGTACTTAGGTTACTTCACAAAAAAGAAAAACTGGCAGAGAAATCAGAAGTCAGACTTAAAAACAAACAAAACAATAGGGCGATGTAATATTTCTTTGCCATTCTCAGATTTCCCAATTGCAATTTCAGTTGCTCATGAGCAACTACAGAAGCTGGCAACAGATAATTATGATTTTGCTATGCCATAAATTTGAATTCTAAGGTAAGGTGGCCATGTGGAAAAAAATCACCTAAAAAATATGCCAGTGGACCTCCTGGCTTCCACATCTCAACAATGATTTGTTGTTCTCTACTACTCTGCCCTGGTCCAGTAACTCAGTAAGGATTTGAAGGAAATCCTTTGAAACTTTCAGTAATACTTTATGGTATATTACAAGGTGCTATTTGGGATTCACAAAAATTTCAGCATATATCCATTTCACTACCAAAGTTTACTACATAAACGTAACACATCTAGATTTCCGTTTTATTACATCAGTTTGTCTGAGGGCATCACATTCCCCTGTGCCTTCTGTTACCCACTTTTTATTCTTTATTCTTATTCTACAGCTACCACTCAAAGGCAGAAATTCATTCTTTCTACAGCACTGTGGAGAGAATTCTCAGACGAGGAAAAAGGCCTTTTTTCTATGCAGGGTTAGAAGCCTCTTTAAATTCATTTAATTAATATATAAATCAATAAAATAAAGCAGCATCACAACTACTAATAGAAAGTAAAAGAAAAAAAGCAAATTGTTCCATGAAAGGTATCTGGGGAAATTCAACTGAGAAAATATTTTTAGCTTCTAAGTAAGAGTTTTGCTTGCTTTTTCAACTCCATAAACACACGTCTTTAGAATTAGTTAAGAATTATTCAATATTTAGTGGTCACTCCTACATCAACTTATAATAAACACGTAAAAAAAGCATTATTTGACTTTTTAACCTTACTTGTAATGTTGAAAACAAATACAAAATTAAATGGTGACCCTTATTTTTAGTCTATTTCAAAGCATGGTCTCTTAGATTTAAGAATTAGAGCAGATAAATGTCAAAAGACGGAGGGGAATCAAAAAATGAAGTCAAAAAAACCCCCCACTGATATGTTTATGTGTTATAAAGTTTGAGCTACAGTGCTTATATTCCTTTAAATGGTATTTTCTTCTGACTTTCCATTAACCTCACCAGTAACTGAATTTTTAACAAGACCCTATAAGCCACCACAAGTCTTCCAACTATAAATTGAAATGAATTGTAGGCAGATATGTGTACCAAGTACTTTATGAAATTCACCATGCACAGCTGAACTTCACATACAGAATTCAAAAATCAAAAGGACTATGATATTCTTAAAACCCAAAGGCTAGATAAGGCCTTTCCTGCACTGTAAGAAATGACTTGATCTAATGATGTTAATGTAGAAATACATTATATATTTTAACATCAATAAGATATGACACTCAAGGGGGGGAAGGCCAATAAGCCTTTACATTTTAAAAACAAAAGGGATACGTTTTGGACACCTTAAATTATAAAATTCAATTCTAAGCAGGAACTGTTACTGTGTAACAAATACTGCTCATATCAAAAGTGCTGGTGACAAAAAATTCAATATGCCCTCCCCACAGATCTGTTCACACACATTTATATAAAGAACTGTTAACTGCAGTAAGACTGTAAATGTTTAAGGTGCTTAAAATTTTGCACCGCAGGACTAATTCAGTAAGTATTCATCTGCTACCTCTTTGTAGCAACTCCAGTTAGAGTGAATGATCCATGGGCAAAGGGCAATAATGCTGTCATTTTCTAGAATGTGGCATTTGTGGAGCTGGAGTGCCCTCTATTGGTAATGAAGAAGACACACTCATTAGCTGTCCTGCATGCATTTTCTCATTAATTCGGAGTTCACATCCGTCTTGAAGCATTCGAACTGCTATTCGGGCAATATTCTTAGAGTCGTCAAGACCACTGTGAGGCCGCCCATCATAATCCATTCCTAGCTTTTCAAGCATTATTGTCAATTTGGTTTGGCTTCTAGGAACCTGTAAAATAAACAGCTTGGTAAATAATTCTTTCGTATTCTATTAAGTCACTGTGAAAAATAAGAAAATGAAAATTAATGGTAATAGCTAAAGTTAAGCAAAGGGCAGATACTCTTAGTTAAATGAAGCAAAATAACTCAAACCCTCAGAGCTTTAAAAAAAACTTAAGTTATAGATGAAAATACAAATAGGTTGAATCATCAAGACATCTAAAGAGTTTGCAGTTTTATAATGTGACAATCATTTATGAAAGGAAATATACTGTTCTGGATTTATAGCAGAAGCTCTACCATTTTTTGTAAGTATATGCTCAATATCCAGCATGGATTCCAACAAAGGGCTTGAACTTATAACCCTGAGATCAAGACCTGAGCAAACATCAAGAGTCAGACACTTAACCACCTGAACCCAGGTGCCCAAAGCTCTGCCATTTTAACCCAAATATTCTTTTCCATGGTATTTTACTCTAATGTTTTTTTAAAAAAGATTTATTTATTCACAAGAGACACAGACAGAGAGAGGCAGAGACATAGGCAGAGGGAGAAGCAAGCTCCCTGCTTGATGTGGGACTCAATTCCAGGACCCTGAGGATCATGCTCTGAGCACAAGGCAGATGCTCAACCGCTGAGCCAAGACATCCCTTTACTACAATATATTATTTTACCTGACAGAATCCTTAGATACACACACACACACACACACACACACACACACACACACACACAAAAGTAACCTTTCTATGACTAAAAGATAATGAAGTTCAAGAATGAAAAGAAATTATCATATGGTACTTTTCAACCAATTTAAATACCTGCTCCAATTTGATAAATGTAAAAATTTCACTCCCCGAACTCCAATATGCCCCTCCACTTTTGAGACCACTATTTTATCTTCTGTGTATGTTAACTTTTATATTCTATAGTTTGTATAGCTATGCCAACTATACATCTTGGGGCCTCAGCTACTTTTTCTGTAAAATAAAACTAATAGTCATACTGCTTACTCATTAGGCTATTGGGAGAATCACAAATCAAATGATATAAAAGCACCATGATAAACATCAATAATTATCCTAAAACTGTAATACTGTAATGCATTCTGGTCCTTTCACTAAATATCATCTAGAAAAAAACTTCCAAAAATAACTTCCAAAATGAACTACTTAGGTGAAATGGACTATTTCTTGTTAGACAAAATCTACCAAGACTGAATCATGAAGAAAACAGAAAATCTGAACAGATCTACAGTAAGGAGGACTCAACTGGTAATCAAAAACCTCCCAACAAAGAGAGGCCCAGGACTAGATGGTTTCACCAGTGAACTCTACAAAACATTTAAATAAGTCGTAACACCAATCAAACTCTTGCAAAAAATTGAAGAGGAAGGAACACTTCGTAAATCATTTGACAAAGTCAGTATTACCCCTTATCAAGGCCAAAGACACTATAAGAAAACTACAGACCATTATTATCCCTTATCAATATATTTTTTTAAATTTTATTTATTTATCCATGAGATACACACAGAGAGAGGCAGAGACACAGGCAGAGGCAGAGAGGAGAAGCAGGCTCCTTGCAGGGAGTCCAACGTGGGACTCGATCCTCGCACCACGGAATCACACCCTGAGCTAAAGGCAGATGCTCAACCACTAAGCCACCCAGGAGCCTCTATCCCCCTTATAAATACTGATGCAAAAATCCTCAACAATACTAGTGAACCAAATTCAGCAGCATATCAAATGGATTACACACCATGACCAAGAGAGATTTATTCTTGGAAAGCAAGGATGGATGGTTCAACATACAAAAAAACAATCAATATAACAAACCACATTAACAGAATGAAGGGAAAAAACACACGATCACCTGAATTGATGCAGAAAAAGCATCTGACAAAATTAAATACCCATTCATGATAAAAAATACTCAACAAACTAGCAACAGAAGAAAATTACCTCAAAATAAAAAGTCCATATATAAAAAATTTAGAGTGAACATCATCATATTCAATGGTGAGAAGACCGAAATCTTTTCCTCTAACATCAGGAACAAGATAGGGATGCTCACTTTCACCACCTCCATTCAAAAGAGTATCAGAAATTCTAACCAGAACAAGTATGAAAAAGAAATAAAAGGGATCTGAATTGGAAAGGAAAAAGTAAAGTGATCTTTGCAGGTGTCATGATCTTATATGTAGAAAATCCTGATGATTCCACCAAAAAACTATCAGAACTAATAAGCAAAGACAGCAAAGTCACAGGACACAAAATCAGCACACAAAAATCAGGTGCATCTCTATACATTAACAATGAAGAATCCAGAGAGGAAATTAAGAAAACAATTCCATTTCAATAGAAAAAAAAAATTAACCAAAGAAGTGAAAGACTTATAAATAAAAAACTACAAAGTGTTGCTCAAAGAAATTAAAGACAATACAAATAAATGGGAAGACATCTGTGTTCATAAATTGAAAGATTTAATATTATTCAGCTATCAGTAATATCCAACTTGATTTAAATACAATGAAATCACTAATAAAACATTAACTCAAAATGGATTAAAGACCTAAGCCTAAGAGTCAAAACTATAAAATTCTTACAAGAAAACCAAAGGGAGAAGTGTCATGACATTGGATTTGGCAATGGTTTCTTGGTTACAACACCAATAGCTGAGGAAATAAAAGAAAACCTAGAAAAAAATAGACTTCATAAAAATTTACAACTTTTGTATATCAAAGAGCATACTATCAAAAGAAAAAGCCCATAGAATGGAAGAAAGTATTTGGAAATCATGGAATGAAAAAGGACTAATAACCAGAATATATAAAGAATTCCTAAAACTTAACAATACAAAAGACAAACTACTTGATTTCAAAATAGGCAAAGGACTTGAATAAACCTATCTCCAAAGGCATACAACTGTCCAGTAAGCACACAAAAAGCTGCTTAACATCACTCATCATTCTGGAAATACAAATCAAAATCACAATGAGATACTGCTTCACACTCATTAGATGGCCATTAAAAAAAGAAAAGAAAAAGAAAACAAACAAAAGAAAAAAGGAAATGAAAAATAAGTGTTGGCAAGGATGCAGAGAAACTGGAACCCTTGTGTGTTGGCTGGGTGAATGTAAAAGGTACAGCCACTGTGCCATGGAATTTCCTCAAAAAATTAAACACAGAATTACATATGATCCAATTCTACCTTTGGGTATATACCCATAGAAATGAAAGCAGGGACTCAGTTATTTGTACATCTACATTCACTGTAGCATTATTCACAACAGCCATAAGGTGGAAGCAATCCAAGTGTCCATCAATAGATAAATGGATAAACAAAATGTGATATATAAATACAATGAAATATTATTCAGCCTTCAAAAAGAAGGAACTTCTAAAACAATGGAATTATTATTTCACCTTTTACAAAGGAAGGAAATTCTTACATATGCTACAACATGTATGAATCCTGAAGACACTGGTAAGTGAAATAAGCCAGTAACAGTCCGATCATACACTAGAGAGATTTACCGATCTGCCTTTAGAATAGCTGTGGATTTCTGCATAAGAACAGGGTCCAGTCATTCATAGAAAAGCAATGAACATTTTGCTGCAGCTTTCAACCTTTTATATGTGTAAGTAAGCATCTACTTATTTAACAATATAAAGAATAAGGGCAGAAGTTGTCTAATTTCAGTGGAAAACAAAATCTGTATGAGCTTATCTCAAATCCAACCCAGAAGTATTTGTACAGGAAAACAAAAACAAAAACAAACAGCTTCTGCCTTCTCAAAATATAGTTTATGCTTTACTTTTACTTCAAAAATGACATTTTAATGCACACACAGAACTACAAAGGAAATAAAAAAACATGTTTGTATAATTTTGTAAATGCTAAACCTACATTTGAGTATGATCATGCCACACATAAGTTTATTTTCTAAAATCTTGTCTAAAATTATGTCTGTAACCTGTATCTTTATTCATATTGTTTTAGCCTACTTACAGAAAACTCAAACCTACTTTAAGTTTAAACCAGCTATTAAACAGAAAAGTATTATGCTTGCCTTATAAATCTCTTAAAATTATGAACAAGAGATTATTTTTTTTTAAAGATTTTATTTGAGAGAGAGAGGGAGAGCACAAGCAGGAGGGGAGAAGCAGAGAGAGAGGGAGAAGCAGGCTCCCCACTGAGCAGGGAGCCTTACTCGAGGCTTAAACCCTGGACTCTGAAATCATGACCTAAGCCAAAAGTAGATGCTTTACTGACTGAGCTATCCAGGCATCCTTAATTTCAAATGTCATGATCTATCTCCATTCCCAAGAAAGGTTGGGTAAAAAATCATTTTTAGTTTTAAAAAGGAGAAAAGAATACTTTGTACATACCAAAGACTATACATTGTTAGCATTCTATATAGTAAAAATTTGTGATAAGACTTTTAGGTGTCCTTGAATAAGAAAAACAAAAACAAAACAAGGAAACATTTTAAAAAGAAAAATGTTAAGTTTCCTCAACTTCCACTAATTGGCATTATTGTTGATAACTATTATGAACAGGGGAAAACCACACAGAAAAGAGCAGCCTAATAAATTGGTCAACATCAATAGATCCACAAAAAAATACCATTCTCTACTCAAGAGTGTTGGCAACATTATCGCCTTACTGTATCTACAAGTTTCTTAATACTGTAATGTACTGTGAGCTGTGTATATTTTTATGCAGTGTGAAAAATTACTTTATGGCTTTATTAATCACAAATAATTATCCTTAGAATAAAGTTAAAGATTTGAGAAAGACATCCTAATGTAAGGATTCATTGTCACCTGGGAAGTATAGCAAAAAAATTAAAAAAGCAAACCTAAAGACGACTGTGCCCCTACAAAGTTACATGAAACACAGAGAACAGAGGCATATCTGAATTAATATCACAAGACACAATTAGCAAAATGTAGACAGTATGAAAACCTACCAGATAAATGACTTCATTTCTTAATAAAAATAGTAACAATAAATCACCAGAGAGAAAAAGGAGGTGGAAAAGGAATTTAGAAATTAAAAATCTGAGAAAGGAGCACCTGGGTGGCTCAGTGGTTGAGCATCTGTCTGACTTTGGCTCAGGGAGTGATCTCGGGGTTCTGGGATCGAGTCTCGCATCAGGGTTCTCACAGGGAGCCCTGCTTCTCCCTCTGCCTAGGTCTCTGCCTTTCTGTGTGTCTCTCATGAATAAATAAATAAAATCTTTAAAAAAGAAGCAAAAAACAAACTTAAAAGAGATATGTGAACCAACTGGAAATGTGTGGGCCTTATTCTGATCCTGATTCAAAACACAAAAGGTACAAGAAAAAAAAAGATAAGGTGAAGGGGAGTAAGAGGTACAAACTCTCAGTTATAAAATAAGTTACAGGAATGAAAAGTACAGGACAGCCATAGTCAATAATACTGTAGTAACACTGTATGCTAGTGGATGGTAACACATATATCGTGGTGAGCATGGTGTAACATACAGACCTGTCCACTATGCCTGAAACTAGTAACACTGATGTTATTATACCTCAATTTTAAAAATTAACTAATTAAATTTAAAAAGAAAACTCTTTTTTTAATTTATTTTTTATTTTATTTTTTTTAATTTTTATTTATGATAGTCACACACAGAGAGAGAGAGAGAGAGAGAGAGAGAGAGAGAGAGAGGCAGAGACATAGGCAGAGGGAGAAGCAGGCTCCATGCACCGGGAGCCTGACGTGGGATTCGATCCCAGGTCTCCAGGATTGCACCCTGGGCCAAAGGCAGATGCCAAACCGCTGTGCCACCCAGGGATCCCGAAAACTCTGACTTTTTGACAACATTAAGGAATTACTGTTGATTTTTTTCTAAGTGTGATAGTGGTATGATGGTTATGTTTTTTAAAACTATTCCCTATTTTTGGGGGTTACTAACGAAATGTTTACAGATCAAATGAAGTAACATTTGAGATCTGCTTCAAAAGAATAGGGAAAGAAAATAATAATAAGAAATATGTACGGTCTTAAAATTAAAAAAAAAAAAGTAAGGAAAGGGGAAAGTGGGTGGAGATACAGATGAAACAAGGCTGGCCATGAGATTATACCTCTTAAAACTGGGTCAAGAGGATTCATTACACCTGTCAACTTTTGTATATATTTGTAATTTTCCATTACAAAAGTTTTTTTTGAGAATTCGCAAAATGAGTGAAAAGATAAATTCACAGAAAAGGAAAAAAATTTACCAAATATAATCAAAGGACTAGTATCCATAATAAATATGTATAAATAATCACAATATGTATAAATAATCACAAATTGTAATCTACAATTACAAAAGGACAGACCACTCAATTTTTTTAAATGGGAAGATTTAAACAGGGACTACACAAAACAAATTCAAATGGCTAATAACCACAGAAAAATAAGCTCAAGCTCAACCTCATGAGTAATCAGGCAAATGCAAATTAGAACCTTCATGAGGTGGCATCCCACACCAACCAGATTTATAAACATTTAAAATGTCTGGCAATACCAGATGCTGATGAAGACCTACAGCAATTATAAATTCACCCACTCTTCTGGGGGAGAGTGCAAATTGGTACAACCCCCTCAGAAAACAATTTTTGCATTACCTAACATCAATGATGCAATATCATATGAACCAGCAATTCTACTCACAGGTTTATACTCTAGAGAAATGAGCACAGAAAGGCACCAGAAATGATGCACAAGAAATGTTTAGAGTACCACTGTTCCTAAAAGCCTCCAAAATGGCCAGCCAAAGTGGGACAGATGAACAAACCCCTGTATATTCACAAAATGAAATTCTCCACAGCAATATAATAAACTACAGCTATATACACATCAATGGATCTCAAACACAATGTTGAGGAAAAAAGCAAAATGAACAATATAGCCAGTACAATGCTAATTATACATAGTCAAAAACAAGCAAAAGTAAACCACATGGTATAAGGATACACACATAATATTAAAACTATAAAGAAAAACAAGAAAATGATTTCCATGGAAGTATGGACTATTTGGGAGGGCTCTGAGAGAAAGGAAAGGGATTAAGTGAATGGAAGTTATATGAATTTCACTTTAAAACAAACTCCATTTTTCTGAATGTACATTTCTTAGCTTTAAAAAATGTTAAAAGTACAAATGTTAAGGGAAAGCATCTTTTCTCACAAAACTACTTTAGGATATACTTCACCAAAATGAGGTTGTGAAGGAAGAAAACCAACACAAAGTCTAACACATGACAGAAAAGCAAGAAACATATCTCCTAGGATGATTTTAGAAGAAGCCTGAAGAACAAACAGTTCGGATTAGAACAGGATTAAAGGCTCTAGGAAGGTAGTCTCCAAGGAAAAAGGGGACAAAAAAAAAAAAAAAAAGAAAGAAAGAAAGAAGAAAGAAAGAAAGAAAGAAAATGGACCGACCACTAAGTGCTTTGAATACTAAGAATGACTTACAGTTTGAATGGAGAGTTAATGGGATAAGAAGACGACTAAAGGCACTTGTAAAATCTAGGGAGAAGTTGTGAATACTCTCCACTGCTACAAGAACATAAGCAGTAAATAATGATTTGATTATAAAGATAATGTAACTAATTAATTAGGAAGACACACAGAGAGGAAGGACATGCAGATATGGTGGCTTTTTCATAGAACTAAATCTTTATTTTCCATTGCAGGAACTCCACAGATACGTCAACAAAAGTTCAAGAAACAGGAAAACAAATCATTTAGAAATACGAAGGTAAATACTAGAAGAAATAGCTAAAAAAAGTTGAAACTGGTTGCCTCAGGAGAATAGGAACCAGTACCAGTGAGGGCCTTAGTGGATGAATGCCACTTTCCATAAACCTTATAATGCTACTTAAAAATTTATACTATGCATATGTACTAACTGATAAAATTCAGTGAGGAATATTTGCTCCATAAACAATTCACATACTGAATATCCCTACAGTTTCAAACCTCTCCTGAAGATCATGTATTTACAGTTAACCTATTCAAATAATAGTAACAGATTGAAAGAAAAATAGCTCAATTTTCCAAACTCATATGATCATCCTCACGTTTGGATTATAAAAAATTACAATTGAAGTATATGGCCTTTTTCTGTGAAAAGCACCCAGTAAATCACAACTTAACATACATACAAAATGTAATAAATTTATCATCAAGGGCAGTATAATCAATAAAATAGAGAAATTTTACCTTGTAAAAGTTTCCATATGACTTTCGAATATTGATCCACTTTTTAGCAAAAGGAGGATATTTGAGCCTGCTTAGCCGGCACTGAATATTCAGGAACTTACTCATATCCCACGAACTTGTAAAATCAAAAACAGGGGTGGAAAAATGGTAAAATAAATGCTGTACTGTTCTTAGTAGTATATTAAGTCATTCTATTTATTTTTATTTACATGTCACCTTTCTTTCTGATATTTATATATATTATCAAGCTTAGAAAATTAACCTCACTAGCTCCAAAATACTAATTCAAAAATAACAAAGAGAAGTAAAAGTCAAGTATATCCGTTTTTTTTTTTTTTTTAATTCTTACTAGACTTATCATGATCAATGTCATGGTTCTGATTACTTGGGCAGACTTCTATCTTGTTAATTATTTTTTCATAATCCTGAAATACCTCTGCTAAGTTTACTTTTAATGCCAGGTTTATAGTATTAGGAAGTTCTTTTGGAGTGTGCTTTGAAACAAAACAACAAAAACCAAATGAACAAAAATGAAAGTAGTTGGTATAAAGTGGTAAGAACACAATTTGTTCTGTTACAGCATATGTTTCTACAACACTAATCAACTTAAATAAGTAGGAAAATACTAATTGTATAATATGGAAATTGTATTGGTTCATACATGGTTTTTCCTAGGGAAAAGAAGGCAATACAACACCTGTACACATTATAACCTACAGCAGGAAAGAAGAAAGCTCCCAACTCAGCTACTGTACTACCAACAGGAGTACTTTCAGGTATATATTAAAAAAATAAAAAATGAGTGCTTGTCCCCAGGATGCTATTGCTTCTGTACATTTATAATATCCTCTGAGGCAACTTCCACTAATTCTGAGCTGCCTGCCCGTTCTGTCCAAATTATTTCTGGATGTTTGAGATATGTCCCAGAATGTGAGGTTTTTACAGAATTACCTATACTATGTTATGACAGAAACACCTATATACTTTAGCAGGAAACTGCTCATTCACGTTTAAAATTGACAGATTTCTAAAGAGGTCCACCAACATTTCCCCCAATTTCTATTTTTAAACATAATTATAATGTGACTACTTTTCCTATGTAAGGGTCACTAAACCCTTTATGTAAGTGACATCTCAGCTTTAGTGTACAATCTGTCCATAGTTTGAAACAGAAGTTGATTAGGACTTTCTTCTTCAATCTTAATAGTATTATGGTATGGGAGCTGCCTTGGCACAATGCCTATAATCCTTGTTTCAATCTTTCTGATCTTCCCTCTAAGCTTTTCATCTAACAAATGCTTTCTGAGCATACATTCTGAGTTCAGACTACAGTAAGAAGCATTATGGAAGACTATCAAGTAGCAGAAGTCTCTACTCTGAAAGGATTTTTAATCTCTCTGCAAACAAGTCTTACATAAATAAAGTTTAGACATCAGAATACTTAGATGGCCACACAAATGGTATATATAAAAACTAAGACATCGAAAAAAAGAAAAAGATAAGTGTGAGTTGTAGTATGTGGAGTAAAACAGAAGAAGGGCTTTGAATAATAATAAAGAAGTAGTAAAGGAAGAGAGCCTTCTAGTAGAGGGAAAGCATGAATAAGTGCACAGAGAAAGGAAACACCATGGGATTCATTAGCCAGCATGCACAGAGTGGACAAGAATGACAGGTACATCAGGTTACGCGGTGGGTGGGGGGGTGCGAGGGTTAGATAAGAGAACCTTGAAAGCCATATTGAAGAGTTTGGACTTCTTTGAGCAAGGAAGTGTCATGATAAAAAGTTTCAGTAAAGGCATTTTCGTTTTACATATTAATATTTATCTTTCCCTACTCCTCCAGTCCTGAATTAGACTATTATCCATCCTTCTTTTCCCTCCTCTTTTGAGCTCTAGGATGCAAAGCTTAAGTAGAAAAAAAAACAAAAAAACAAAAAAAACAAAACAAAACAAAAACACAAAGTTTAAGCAGAAATAAAAATTTGAAAGGAAAAAATGGTCTCCTGTGGGAGACCCCAGTACTATCAGAAAACAGTTTTTTGTGGTTATCCTAAAAGTTAAATGGATATGAACATCTTTGATCTTAAAAAAGTAGATAAAAAAGATAATTCTCCTAAATACTCACCCATCTGTCAATATGCAATATTTATACTTTGTTCCTAATTCCTTCAATTTCATCCAGTCAATTACTTTTTTTAGTACCTGAGGGAAGGTATCAGCTCTGTCTACCTGATCCTGAGGATATAAAAGTAAAATTTATAAAAATAAGCGTAGCTACATGTAATCCTACAAATACCCAGATACAAATGTTGAAAGGAAAGAAACAGTAAGAGAAAGCCTCACTATGATATTTTAAACTCTACATGATTTCCTTAGCTGAGATCCACCTAACATTTCGTTTTTAAGATAATTAAAAATTCTTCATAGCCAGGCATTAGGGACACTTTTTTTTTAACATTTATTTTTTTATTTATTTATGATACTCACAGAGAGAGAGAGAGAGAGAGAGAGAGAGAGGGCAGAGACACAGGCAGAGGGAGAAGCAGGTTCCATGCACCGGGAGCCCGACGTGGGATTCGATCCCGGGTCTCCAGGATCGCGCCCTGGGCCAAAGGCAGGCGCCAAACCGCTGCGCCACCCAGGGATCCCTAGGGACACTTTCAAGTGAAGTATATAATCCTCCCAAAATTAAGACTCAAGATCATCCCCAGTGTTTCTCCATTTTTTTTAGACCTCAACCCAATGGCTAATTCTCCAGAATGGAGAAAAGGGAAATAGCTGAAAGCTATGGCTCTGTAACGTGGTCTCTCTATCTTAAAGCTCAGATCTTTCCACAACAGATGACATACCAGATTGATCTTCCTAATTTGATCTGTCACATCACTTCCATACTTAAAATCCTCCAAACATTCCCCAAGGCTTTCAGGATAAGACACACAGACTCTTCATGACGTGGCCTCCCTCTATCTACCACTTAAGCTTTATTTTCAACCACTTTCTTACTAGCCCATTCACACTTGAATCATCCCTGACTACTTACAGTTCTGCTGTCCATACCTGAAATGCCCATTCTTTCCTATTATCATGATTCAGCCCAAGTTCATTAACTTGAGGAAGTCGCGGAACAGCCTTCCATTCCCTCAGTCATAAGCTGCCCATGATACCCAAATAAAACACCAACTTGTCAGTCTTCCTAACCATATTGTGTCACCACTGGTTTAGTCTATCTGTCCTCCTGAATATAAACTATTGAGTGAGCTGAAGAGACTGATTTGACTATCTCTGTATCCCCAGCACATTGGCAAATAGTGCAGTAGGCACTCATATACTTGTTGGGTGAATGAGTAAATGAATAAAGGAACTAAATAAATGAACAAAGAGCCAACCACACTGCACTACAATAAAAAAATTAGAGACCTAAAAAAAAAATTAAGCTATATATCACGTCAAGTTATAAACAGATAAATTTCAAAACTTACTTTACTAATGATCCAAATTAAACCTTTACTTTCATCACTACAAGTCCTTAAGAGGAAAGACTGGGCAAGATTTTACCAGGTACAAAATGTGCTTTTTTACTTTAATATCTTAATATGAAAGATATTTATCAACTAAAAAAAGTACATTGATTTAATTGCTTACAATAATAATAATGTTGTTAAACTACTAAATAAACCCTACTTTCAAAACCTCTTTCAAATTCTAGAAAAAGAAACAAAAAATTAGAACCTGAGTAATTCCAGTTAGGTTGATGCAGAAATCAGAAAGTTGTGTGTTAAGCTCTGGTCTCACATACTGTTGGAATGTATCTTCCTACAAAGGAAGGAGAAAAAGTTAAAGTATTTTCTATGACTTCATATACATTATACAAGATACATAATAAAACATTAAGGCACAGAAGGCTGTAATTTTATAGGTGCTCATGGTATAACCCTTTCTAGAATTTTAACAATATAAGGATAATTCTCCATTCCCGAAGCACTCTAATTTTAATTATGTTTCATAGTTTAAAATTTTTAAAATTATGTCCCATAGTTTAAAACATTTTAACTGCCTGGGTTGCTCAGTCAGTTAAGTGTCCGACTCTTTGTTTCGGCTCAGGCTGTGACCTCATAGGTCAAGACATCGAGCCCTGATTGGGGCCCCCCACTCAGTGGGAAGTCTGCCTGAGATTCTCTCGTTTTTGGCCCTCCCTCAACTTGCGCTCACTCTGTCTCAAATAGATTAATTAATTAAAAAAATTTAAGATGGGACACCTGGGTGGCTCTGTCTTTAGGTGACTGACTTATGATTTCAGCTCAGAACATGATTTCATAAGATTAAGCCCCATGATGTGCTCCATGCTGAGTACAAAGCCTGCTGTAGAGTCCCTCCCTCTACCCTCCCCACTTGCGTGTACACTCTAAAATAAATAAGTCTTTAAAAATTTTTTTAAGATAAAGCAAGTATCTGAAAGCAAGACTTCAAATGAAAGATTAAGTATTTTCTTGAGGATCAAATGTTGATAATTTTGTTTGTAATATCTGAAATGAAACCATAAAGCTTAATAATGCAACCTCAACTTCAATATACTAAGAGCTTTTTAAATAATAATAAATTCCTTGAAGAAATGCCAACCTTTAGTTATTACTATTCTCATTTACTCTTGACTACTCCTTATTTTTGTATTGACTCCATTAAACTAAATTCTGAAGAGTCACAAATTGAACTAGTAGTAGTTTAAAGTAGTTAAAAGTAATAGTTTAAAGTAGTTAAAAGTAGTAGTTTAAAGGGTGATAATAATATTATATTTTTGTAGCAATTTTAACCTCTTCAAGAAGCTTTCACACTTGCCTTCTCAACTTATAATCACAAGTCTGTGAACTCGTAAGGCCAGTCCTGTTACCATCAAGCTCAGATCTCAAAGTACTTTTTCCTAGAGACTAATACTGTCTCCCTAAACAAAACATGCCATCAGTTGTTAAAACTTAAGGACAACCTCAAAGCCTAAAGGCAGCAATCATTAATACCAGGTAGATACAGAGAAAAAGACAAAGAACATTTTTTGTGACAGAGATTCAAATATTAAGAAAAGTAAAGGTTTCATTTCCTAAGAACAAATCTTTCTTCACACTAGTGTATTAACTCAGTGACTTATAAAGGTTACTATTGTAAAAAAATAAAATTAAAGAACAGTAAAGAATGTTTGAACTTTAAAAGTTAGATGCTTTTTACTTACCAGATACATTGCAGAAGAAAAAATTCTACTTGATTGAATTTCAGATAAATGAAGTATTTTAAGTATCAATATCTTTATAACTTTCAAAGAAAATCTTTCAAAAATATGCTGCAACTTCCCTTACCAAATATTTAGCAATCGCTTAAGTAAATTACATAATAAGTTAACAGGTGATAAGGGGGGCATTGGTAAGCGCGAGCCACTAAAGGGATTTGAGCAAAGAAGGGAAATGATTTGACTTGTATTTTATAAGAATCACTCTAGGGGATCCCTGGGTGGCTCAACGGTTTAGCCTCTGCCTTTGGCCCAGGGCATGATCCTGGGGTCCCGGGATCAAGTCCCACATTGGGCTCCCTGAATAGAGCCTGCTTCCTCCTCTAACTGTGTCTCTGCCTCTCTGTGTGTCTCTCATGAATAAAATAAATAAAATCTTAAAAGATATATACATTTAAGGATCACTCTGGCCACTATGTTGAGAATTGGCTGTAGAAGACAAGAACAGATACTGGTCTGATGGTGAATGCAGTAAATCCAGACAAGAAATTACTGGGGTTCAGACTAGAGTCATAGCAGTGCAGTTAAGTGGCTGGGTTCTGGATGTATTCAGAAGGCAGAGCAAACAGGAGCTGCTGCTCACCAGGATACGTGTTGGGAGAGAAACAGGAGTCAAGGATGACTCCAAGGTTTCTGAACTGAGTAATTAGAAAGACAGAGCTGCCATCACTCAGAAGGCTGAACATTTAACAGGTTGAGGGTAAATTTCATTTGGGACATGTTAAGAGGTCTATTTAAATATCCAAGTAGAAATGATAAATAAGCAGCCTGGATTTGGGATGGAGGTCCAGGTTGGAAATATAGATTTGGAAGTCATTAGCAAACAGTTTCTAAAAGCTATGGAAGTAGATGAGATTAAGGGAGAGGATCTATATAGAGAAGAGGACCTAGGATTAAATCCTGGAGCATCCAATACTAGGAATTACGAAGAAGAAGGAACCAGCAAAGGAAACTAGAAAGGGGAACCCAATGAGGTCGAAGACAAATCAAGAGAATGAGGTGTACTGATAGTAACTTGCAGAAGATATTTCAAGGACAGAGTAGTCTAGACCAGGATTAGGTAAAGGTGATACAAATGAGTAATTTTAGTGGAGTCCTGGGACTGAAGACAGTGTGAGTTTAAGACAGAATGGGAGGAAACAGAGATTTGTTTTTTTTAAAAAAAAAAACAAAAAATCTTCTAACCATGTATCGTTTATTATAACATAATATATATACATATACACATAAGTTATGAAGCAAATTAAATCATGACCCACCCCAAACCCTTTACTTGAATATTACCTATCTCTATATTGTGTTCAAATTACCTGTGGTCCTTTCATATCCCATCTCTTTTTTTTTTAATAAATTAATTTTTATTGGTGTTCAATTTACCAACATACAGAATAACACCCAGTGCTCATCCCGTCAAGTGTCCCCCTCAGTGCCCGTCACCCATTCACCCCCACCCCCTGCCCTCCTCCCCTTCCACCACCCCTAGTTCATTTCCCAGAGTTAGGAGTCTTTATGTTCTGTCTCCCTTTCTGATATTTCCCACACATTTCTTCTCCCTTCCCTTATATTCCCTTTCACTATTATTCATATTCCCCAAATGAATGAGAACATACATGGAAACAGAGATTTGTAACCTTTTTCAAAGAGCTAAGAAATAGAGTAGCTGGCAGAGAAGTGGGATAGGGTGAAGGTTTATAATAATGTGAAAAATAGCATGTCTGTATGTGATGAGAACAATACAGTAGAAAGTAATAAATCATTAATGTCTAAACAAAAGAGAAGAATTGTGGGCAGCTCAGGTGGCTCAGAGGTTTAGTGCCTGCTTTCAGCCCAGGGTGCGATCCTAGAGACCCGGGATAGAGTCCCATGTCGGGCTCCTTGCATGGAGCCTGCTTCTCCCTCTGCCTGTGCCTCTGCCTCTCTGTCTCTCTGTGTCGCATGAATAAATAAATAAAATTAAAAAAAAAAAAGAGAGAGAGAAGAATTGCTAGAGCAATGTCCTTAAGAAAGAGAAAGTGGAATCTAGTGAAAGTGGAGCCTAGTGAATTAGATAAACTTATTACCTTCATAGCTGTCAACTTTCCTTTTAATTTACTGACTTTAATCTTCTTTGGACAAGGAATTTATTTAAAATAGTCTAATTATAACTAAAAGATGCTCTGAACAACACTAAGAAAAAAAAAACTATGCATTTTAATACACAAGCCTTTTTGGAGCACCTGGGTGGCTCAGTCGGTTAAGTGTCTGCCTTCAGCTCAGGTCATGATCTCACAGTCCTGGAACTGAGCCCTCATTTGGCTCCCTGCTCTGTGAGGAGCCTGCTTCTCCCTCTGCCTCTGCCTCTTGTGAATAAATAAATAAAATCTTAAAAAAAACACACACACACACACACACAAGCCTTTTTATACATGCTCCTAACACGTTGGTGGCAACTGAGGCAACTGTTGGTGGCACAGAAGTAATTTCTGGATAGATGAGATGTTGATATACCTTGCTCAGATTTTACAAGGCAAACAGTAGTGTTTAGAGAACTCCTGCTGACTTCCTGAACTAATAACACAGTGACCACAAATATCTAAAGCACATGTATTATATGGCTTGAAACCAAGGTTAGGAGTGTCATTTCCCCCCTAAACTTTTTACTAGAAAGATGGTCAGTTCTAAATTGATTTCCATAATTTGCCATTTTTAGAGATCACAGCATACAGCAGTCTATAGCAGTGGTTCTCAAACCTGACTGCATGTCAAATGAGAAGCTTTAAAAACACGGTGATGTCAGGGGTTCCACCACAGAACAACTAAATCAGAATCTCTGGGATAAGGGCCAGGCATCTTTTTTTTTTTTTTTTCTCACTCCCTAGGAGATTCTGATGTCCAGCCAGATAAGTGTTCCAAGCAAACAGGAAAAAAAAAAAAAAAAAAAAAAAAACAACTATAATTTTAGCTACTGGAAAAGAAGAGAAATAACCTGAAATTACTTCATTATAGCTTTCCTATTAATCAGGTTGATACAACATACAGAAGAGCAATGAGCCCATTTTTGAATTCTCGTTCTAGCTTTAAACCGGCAAATGAGATCCCTGCTGAGAGCCTCAGAATAGTTGCTGCTAAGCATAAAACTGAAATATAATAATTTACTTACTATTTCTAAGGTATGGGTATTCAGTAAAACCACAGGAAATTCAATTATTTCATGTATAAACTCAGGTGGGTTACCCTCTTCACAAGTGGCTTCGAAATCAATGATACAAATGTAGTCGTAGTAACTGTCAACACAACTGCCTTCTTTCAACATGAGCTTCTGCTTCTTGTAATAGTTTTTCAGTCTTTTCTTTAGCACATCCTTTACTCCTCTAAGGAAAGAAGAAGAAAATTAACTCCTAGGTGAATTTTGCAATTAAGAATCTGAACTCTTTACATGCTGGAACTTGGATGAACATGAGAAATCACAGCATAATTTAGCAGATATCAGCTTAAGCGTAAAGAAAGATTTAAAGCTAAAATAGCAAAGAATTAATATCAAGTGTAACACAGCATCAATATTTTCCTTCAGAAGTAACTTTTTGTTTTTGAAGTACTTAAGAACATTTCTCCTATACTGGGATTTCAAACCGTTAAGCCTTGTTAGCATACATCACCTCCACTGCCATACTGCTTTATATACCAAGATGACATTTATGTACTATAAAAACTGAAATTAATGTTCTACATTAATTATTAACTATTAATAGTTAATTAACTATTCTACAGACCAAACACAAATTTCAGAGTAAGACAATTCAGGTAAATGGAACATTTATGCTGTCTCTTCCCTTTCTTTTGGTTTCTATAGGTCAGATAACTAAAATATCTCTATGAATATGAAAACATTAAGAGCCTAGCATATAAAGTTGAAAGTCTATTAGCTACTTACCTAAGAAAATTCATTTAGAAGATACCCTAGTGTAAACTACATCCAAAAGAACACTGTCATACTTAGTAGGTTCTCAATGGGGAAGTAGGTTTCTTAATTTACCATGGGTAGAATTTAATTCAGGAGATAGAAGTATTTTCAAAATATATATTAAACAAATGTTGGTTGGAAAAAGGGTTGTTCTAAGTAGATAATGATAGCTGGCAATTGCACTCACGTTTTCAAACATATGTGCTTCTAAAGATTAAAAATCACAAGTGCTCAGATTTCCTTCAGTGTTAAACTTGAGTCCTATTAATGGTTTACAAACACAAAATGCCAGTAAAAATAAAAGGACTTAAATTGTAATTAGTGTGCACTAGACAACTCAGGCATTTTGGTCACATCACTGATAACTATTAAAAAAAATTTAACCTTTTATTTTCCTTTCTAAACTACCAATGTAAAGGAATCCTATTCATAAGAAATTAACCAGTTGTTTTAACCAAAAAGTTGTAATGTTTATTTGCGGGCAGCCCCGGTGGCTCAGTGGTTTAGAGCCACCTTCAGCCCAGAGCATGATCCTGGAGACCTAGGATGGAGTCGCACGTCAGTCTTCCTGCATGGAGCCTGCTTCTCCCTCTGCCTATGTCTCTGCTTCTCTCTGTGTCTCTCATGAATAAATAAATAAAATCTTTAATAATAATATGTTTACTTGCTTGAAATTTTCTAAATTACCAAAATCTAGGACAGAAATCCCTTAACTCCCTTCATACTATTGTGAGCGACTTCTGTGTCATGGGACAGCTCTTGATTACTTTGTCTTAATTTCTCTCTTTCTTGGAGAAGCTATGGTTACTTAAAGGGGTGCCTGCAAACCTCGTGGCAACACAAAAATAACCAAGCGCTCCAGAGAGAAACTTGTCATCTTTAACATTTCCTTTGCTAATATACATGTAAATAATCCCCACTTTTGCCAGTTCTAACTCAGAAAAAGATTCAGAATCTGGTTCTTCTGAATTGTCTCTGGTATGGAGCCCATGAGCTCCATTTGCCGACTCTGGCAAATACCTCCAATGCACAACCCTCCTCTTCATTCTTTACCCTACTTGAGAACTACTCATTAATGCCAATTTCCTGCTAAAAAACCTGCAGTGACTCCCTTGTACTTATAAGTTACAAAGACTTCAACATACAGTTCCTTCACAACTTGGCTACAACCTATCATTTCTGTATCATCTTCAGATGGTCCCACTCCCCCATAGTACAACTAACACTGCATATAAAACACTGTATGAGCTGCTGCCTAATATGTGATATGCTTTCTTGTTTTGTAACTTTGCTTGTACAGCAGCTGATGAAAAAGCAAGATTACTTAGCAGAAAGCATACCTATAGAAATTAGAAAAGTTCTGAGTTCTTTCTGCCTGAATTGGCCCTTTATCCCTTTTCTGTTTGGCCTATCCATTGTCACTCCTGATTTCCTAAGACAGACTCTATTCTTTATTTGCATGCTGTGCCTGGCCATACTTCCCAACACAGCACTGGTCACACTGTATTGTGATTGTGTGCCTTCCCAAAAGACTGTCTACTTTCCAAAGTGGGGAATATACATATCTATTTTACTTTTATAACTTTAGTCCCTAGTCTGCTGCTTAGAAATCAGTAAGTGCTTGTTGAATAAATGTACATACAATTAGATCTCTAACTGCCATGCAAGTCACAAGTAAGCAACTGATCTTCACTCCTAGGAAAGACAAAAATTTTGCTCAGAAAATCCTCACAGGCTCTATCTTCGTAATAGAGTCAGAGGGGGGCAGCCCAGGTGGCTCAGCAGTTTAGCGCTGCCTTCAGCCCAGGGTGTGATCCTGGAGACCCGGGATCGAGTCCCACGTCGGGCTCCCTGCATGGAGTCTGCTTCTTCTCGCTTGCTCGCTCTGTGTCTCTCATGAATAAATAAATAAAATCTTAAAAAAAAAAAAAAAGAGTCGAAGGGAAATGAGGTAAAATTTTTCTTCACAAGTTATCTTGCAGACAATCTAGAAGGGAAAAAAGTCCACATATGTTCTTTTGAAAAGCAGAGAAGTTCTATTTCAAAGCAAAGGAAGAATATTGCTGAAAGGAGAAAAACGATATAGGGAGACCCAAAAGTAGTAATAGATTTCATCTACTGTAGGCAGTCAACTTTTTTCTTGATGCCTAGCAATTCAATTGTCTACCATAAATATTCATGCTTTGGGACACCTGGGTGGCTCAGTGGTTGAGCACCTGCCTTTGGCTCAGGGCATGATCCTGGAGTCCCTGAATCGAGTCCCACATCAGGTTCCCTGTGTGGAGCCTGCTTCTCTCTGTGTCTGTGTCTCTGCCTCTCTCTCTCTCTCTCTCTCTCTCATGAATAAATAAATAAAATCTTAAAAAAATATATGTATACCTTTCTGGATTCCAAAGGTCATTCTTGCCCATGCCCCAAGTTGAAATAAAGTATTTGTTTTGCAAAAAATTACTAAAAACTTAGGATGTATATATCTCATTGAAGATACACACATACACAAAGTTGGCTAAGCTACATTGTTTTCTCATTCAATATACAGTTACACATAATACAGACTATCATTCTGCATACTTTTAGAAACTAACATGGAAAAAAATATTTCCCTGTAGGTGATTTTTTTAAAAAATTACTTGGTTTCAAAGAAACCCACTTTATAAAAATAACACAAATGAACAAAATAAAAATATATATATATATCCAATCTTATTAATAAGGTATAACTGACCATCAACCAAATGAGCAACTAAAAATATTCAAAACATATGTAGCATAAGATAGCTACTCCTATACATTGTTGGTAGATTGTCAAAATATTCAGACTTCAACTCAGCAATCTTAGTCTGTCATCTAAGAGACTGTCAGAAATAATCAGAGTTATATATAAATATTCACTTACAAGAATGTAAATTATAGCTCTATCCGAATGGTTGATAATAGTTACCTCTTTACAGCAGGATTACAGGCAATGGTCAATTTTTTTAAAAGTTATTTTTGATTACCTGGTTTCAAGCTTGAATTCTGAAAGTTTAGCTCTGAGTTCTTCTTTACTCATTCTATTAATGCATCCATTCGTAATAGCAATCTCTTTGTAAACTGGGTCACTGAAATCACTTGCACTGGAGGTAGTGAACTTAGATCCTTTTGTTTCTTGACCATCAAATCTACATCGTTGCTTTTTCTAAAAAAAAAAAAAAAAAAAAAAAGATACAGCTTAAAATTAATACAAACATCTTAAAGATTCAAACTCCTGAGGCCCATTCATGCTACATGTTCAATGAAAAGTGCATAGAAAGAAGAAAGACGTTTCCAATATAATGTACCCTGCTGCTCTGAGTCATGAGATTTCTTAAAGGAAATGAAGCTAAGTAAAAATAGCACTGGTGTTGGGAGCACATCAAAACAGAGCCCCAGCTGACCATTTACTAGCAGCATGACCTTAGATAATTACTTATTAGCCTCTGATCTTCAGTTTCCTTAACTATAAAATAAAGAATAATAACTGTTCCAAGTGGCATTTGGTATTTGATAATGGTAAATAATATTTAAGCAAGGTTATTGTAGGGGTGCCTGGGTGGCTCAGTTGGTTAAGCATCTGACTTCAGCTCAGGTCATGATCTCAGGGTACTTCGAAAGAGCCCCTCACCCTGCTTCCTGCTCAATGGGAGGGAGTGGGTAGGTGTCTGCTTGTCCTTGTCCTTGTCCCTCTCCCTCTGCCCTCCCTAACCCCCACTCATGCTCTGCCTCAAATACATAAAATCTTTTTAAAAAACAAAGTTATTAGAAGGATTAAATGAGATTACGTATATCAGGCTCTAGACACCATACCCACTGTGCCTATTAAAGGAAATTTTATTACTATCATAGACTGGGGAACAGAACTTTTCACAAATGACATTCTAAAATTTACAAACAAACCAATTTTTAAGTGAACTTTTACAACATTATGCGTGTCTAAGTCCATGACTTCCTTAGAATTTTTTCTTAGATTTTATTTATGGAGAGAGGGGGGAGTGGGGAGGGAGAGAGGGAAAGAGAGAGTGTGTGTGTAAGGGTGGGGTAGGGGAAGAAGGAGAGAGAATCTCAAGTAAAGTCCTCATGAGCACAGAGAATGATGCGGGGCTTGTTCCCAGGACCCTGAGAGATTATGACCTGAGCCAAAAATCAAGAGTTGGACACTTAACTGACTGAGCCACGTAGGCGTCCCCTGAGAATTTTTTAACCTGATTTCATTTCACTAAGTTAACAGAAATTGCCCAATATAAAGACAAAATGGACTAGATAGAAATCTAGTTCAAAACTTCCTAGAACTCAAAGCAAAGGAGGAAATGTATTTGGTTTTAAAACACACAATTTCTAAAACTCATATGTATACAATTATTCAGAAGAACTACAATTACTATATCATAAATCTTTCCTCTTTCCTTAAATCAAAATCCGTGTTAAGGAAAAAAATGACTCAATTGGTAGTCCAGAATTATTAATTTGCTAATATTAAAGTTCCATTTGTAAGTTAATTATTTTCCATATGCAATGTCACAAATATTAGATATGTTCCAGAATTTTCTTTTTTTTTTTTTAATTTTATTTATTTATGATAGTCACACAGATAGAGAGAAGCAGAGACACAGGCAGAGGGAGAAGCAGGCTCCATGCACCGGGAGCCCGACGTGGGATTCAATCCTGGGTCTCCAGGATCACGCCCTGGGCCAAAGTCAGGCGCTAAACCGCTGCGCCACCCAGGGATCCCTGTTCCAGAATTTTCAAAAAGACTGGAACTTCCCATTAATCCATATTAAAATTTGTTAACCTAGTCATAATTTTTCACATTGTCCCCATGTGAACTTTAATGACAGATTAAGAAGGGATAACCAGGGACAGGCCAAAGACCCTGACTTAGCACTAATCCTAATGGTTCAGGAACTATTTCTTTTCTCAAAGCTCTCAATTATTATTTTTAAAGACTTTATTTATTTATTCATGAGAGACACAAAGAGAGAGAAAGAGAGAGAGAGAGAGAGGCAGAGACACAGGCAGAGGCAGAAGCAGGCTCCATGCAGGAAGCCCGATGTGGGACGCGATCCCGGGCCTCCAGGATCACGCCCTGGGCCAAAGGCAAGTGCTAAATCACTGAGACACCCAAGGATCCCCATCAAAGCTCTCAATTTAATACAACGCATGCTTATTAGAAATGTAACACTAGGTATCATACTAGAGCACTCAAGAATTACTCCTGTCTCCTCAGAGGAAAAGATCAGCAATCCCACTGTGTGAACTGTCCATAAACTGAAGAGTAACTATATTGAAGCTCCTTGTTGACAAATGTTTTAAAAACTTTATTACACTGATCCTTGACTAAAGCTAAGAAAATAACTAGCTTTCAGTAAGACATTAAATTTATACCTAGCTACTTTATCACTAGAACTTACTCAGGATAATTTCTCTTTTGTCTTTAAATTGAACTTCATCTTCAGTCAGGTTAAAATTTAGGTCAACAATGAATAACAGTTTTTCTACCAAAACAGATGGCTCAGTCAATTAAGTAAATTTACTCTTTGGCTAAGTCCTCTCTCTCTGATTCACTTGCTTAGTTCTTATCTAAAACTGTAGCTATAAAAATTACCCACAAATAACACTAACGCCTATTTTAAATCTGCTATGAATCCTGATTTCTGTAAAGGAAGATCTGCTTCCTCTCTCAGTTCCAACTCAAGCTCTTTCAGGGAAACTCCGGGCAGTCAAGGTCCGATTTTCTTTGATCAGCCTCTTCTCCCAAATTTAAGGTCTACACCAATGGTTTCCGAATTGGAATCAATCCACTAAGGAAAAGAAGGAAAATATTAGAAACCCCACAGTACTATTAATCTACTAAAATGCTGACTAGCTGACTAATAATACATAGATTGACAATGGCACCTTCCACATGTCTATGTCCACCTGTCACACCTCACAAAAGGTACCGGACATACAATGAGGAAAGGGTAGACAGATTCCATAGTATGAAAATTCACAGTATTGTGACATTCTGCAATCTTCCTGTGTTCATGTAAATGACTATAGGATTTTTGTTATCCTAAATAAGAAGATATTGGAAATGACCATAAAAATCTTTTACATCAAAAAGAGGCTTTACTATCTTGCCTTAAGTACTTAGAAATGGTTTTGGTCTTCAAGTTGAGTTACGTATTTTCATTTACAAGACAGGTATTACAAAACTGCTGTCTTTTCAGTAATGAGAAAGAGAATAATAGCTTGAAATTTAGGTTTCTTTTAACAAACACAACTTGTCATTTCAACCTGAAAGAAAATATGTTTCAACAATAAGATAAAAAGGTAAATACTTATCAAAAGAAATGTTTCTCTGTAGCAAGAACATTTTAAAAATAGTTATTTTGGAAATGTCTTCATTATTTTATTGACAAAAATTGCATTACTTACAAAATAAACAACCCCTGCAACTACATATGAAAAAAAAAGGCCTGAGAAGTGTAATTTAGCTTGATTAAAATTCTCCCAAAAGAATAGTTCTGATGAAATTGGAACCTACTTGCTGAAAAATAAAAATGCAACACCTATTAGTTTATAAAAACAACTGACTTTAGGGACAATGAAAATGTACTTAGCTGAGTTCCAACAAAATACTCTGCTTGACTGAGAATGAAAAAGAAAACTGTATCACCATTTATTAATAGTATCCAACAGTAAGTTTTTAACAAATTCACTAAAACCAATTTGGAACATAGACTTAAGTCTTAAGTCCCTAGATCTCAAAATTTGAAGACTTTCAAATATAATGAAGTATACTCAACTATTTTTAAACCAACTTACATGATGATGTTATTGACAGTATCTCAGACTGAAGAAAAAAGGTGAGTTAAAAAGTGGTTCTTCAGCAAGAAGGGGCATGGAAGATTTCTTGGAAAGCAGCATCTTTAAGAGAATGCAATAACTACGCAAAGATCCAAAAGAAGAGCATGCATGGCAAAGGGAGCATACAAAGACCCTTAATAAGAAAGACTATCCACATTAAAACAAACAAACAAACAAACAAACAAAAAACAACAAAACAAAAAAACCACAAGAGCAGAGAAGTGAAGCCAGGGGCTCTGATAGCAAAAGGAAAGCAATCGTGTGATATGAAGTCAGCAATGGAAGCATGATCCAGGTTCTGCAGGGCAGCAGAAAGAAGAAACACAGACTTAATGTTATTAAGAGATTATTCTACGGGCAGCCCTGGGTGGCTCAGCGGTTTAGCGCCGCCTTGGGCCCAGGGCGAGAACCTGGAGACCCCGGATTGTGTCCCGCATCGGGGTCCCTGCAGGGAGCCTGCTTCTCCCTCTGCCTGTGTCTCTGCCTCTGTGTGTGTGTGTCTGTCATGAATAAATAAATAAAATCTTAAAAAAAATCATTCTACCTGCTATGTGGAGACCTCACTGTGGATGCAAGACCAAGAGTAGCGAAGCCTCCCGCAAGTACCCATTATTAAGTTGCTCAGCACGTTCCTGAAATGCAATGAAGGTTGCATTTAGCCTTCGGTTTTTTACAATCGGCCTCGCTGGTCAACAATGATTTCTGTCAAACAGGATGAATAAGTGAGTTTTAAGGCCGTCTTTACACTTTTGCTCGGTAACCAGGATCTACCACGGAGCTGTCAAAATCACCACCGAGAGGAAGTCACGGGATAGGTCCACATGAAAAAGTAGCAAATGGGCAAAAAGTTCCAACCCATGGGCGCGACCACCTTCTGTTAGGGCTGAGAGGTAATGGGCTTCCTTCGGGTCCTAGGAGCGCAGGGCGCGACCTTTAAAACGTACGCAGCCGATTACCTCTAAGGGCTTGGCCGCAGGACCGCGGCAACAGCGTGCACAGAAGATCTGGGGCAGAATTCCCACCAGAACGTATAAAAGCACAGTTCACACGCTTCTCGTCTTGACTCTACTTCCTCAGGACCAGCGGGCAACCCGGGCGAGAGGCGCCCCAGTGACAACCAAGGCGTCGGAGCCGGGGCCGGGGGCCGGGGGCCGGGGGCCGGGGGCCGGGGGCAGGGGGCGGCCGGGGCTGAGGGCGGCCGGGCGCGCGCACGCTGCGGTCTCCGAGGAGCACCCCAGAGGACCGGGGCGCGGGCGGGCGTGCGGGCGCCTGGAAGCGCCGGGCACCCACGGCGGGGCGCGGGCGGCCGACTCACCTCGGGATTCGGGTGCTGCGGCTCCTCCCCACACTCCGGCCGGGGCGACTCCAGCCGCGCGGGAGCCACGGCCTCGCCGCCAGGCTGTCTGCTCCGCTCCTGCTCCATGCCGGCTGTCCCGTTCAGAAGAGAGCTGCGGGCGCCCCACACTTCCTCTCACTCTCACTCGGCCAAGCCCGAAAGCCTCGCCTTTCTCCGTTGAAAAATTACCGGGCTCGCGTTCCCGCGGCGGCGGCCACACAAACTCGAGGGGACACCTCCCACTTCCGGGAGCGTGTGGCGTCCACACGCCGCGCAGGCGCAGTGCGCGGGTGCGCGCGGCACGCTGGCGCCTCAGCCGCCGGGAGGGGAGGGGAGGGGGGGGAGGGGAGGGGAGGGGAGGGGAGGGGAGGGGAGGGGGGGGGGGGGGCGGAGGCCCGCGCGGGAGAATCCGGGCTGACGTGGCGCGGCGCGGCGGGCGTGCGGCCGTCCTGTCGCCTTCACGCAGGAGTCTAGTCCCTGGGAGCTCCCGCCGCGGTGCCCCGGCTCGTCGCCGTATTACCAGGGAAGTGGCGCGAGGCGTGCGGTGGCTGGAGAGGGGAACTCGGACCGCGGCGGGCGGGGCACATCCGTAAGACCGTTGGCATTTTCCAGGAGGAGGTTGAGACACGTCCGCTCCTGGGCAAGAGCAGGTTTTTTTACTAAGAACTCACCAGAATAGATGAAACCGCTGTTTTCAGACACTGAGCGAGGGGCGGTTCTGAGAAGCTGCCTGAGGGAAAAGGAGGAACTCCGAGGCCCGCGGGTGTCGCCGACAAGACCGAGGTCTCACAGAGTTGAGAGGACCGCGATCGGCCTTTAGGGGGCCTGGGGGGCCGAGCTGTTGGAATCGGTGAAGCGGACTTGGTGGGGGAAGAGCTAAGGGGTCGCGCGGGGGTACTCTTGCGCCTGTGACTGGATACGTCGGTGGATAAAGGTCCTGTGAGATTCCGCAAGGCGCAGAAAGAGCGATTGGGAGGAGCGGGAAGCCGGGGCGGCCCGGTGGCTCAGCTCAGGGCGTGACCCCGGGGTCCCGGGTCGAGTCCCGCATTGTTCCCCGCTTGGGGCCTGCCTCTCCCCCTGCCTTGTCTCTGCCTCTCTCTGTGTGTCTCTCATAAATGAAAAAATACAATCTTAAAAATAAAAAAATAAAAAGGAACAGTAAGCCAGACAATTCTCAGAGCCTCACACACGAGGAGGCCCCACAGCCAGAGGGGAGGAAGGGCTGAAGACGTGGAATATGCTGTAGAGACACCAGAAGTGTCCTGCGGAAGTTGTGAGGTAAACCAGGCCGAGACTCGGGGCGGGGGGGGGGGGGGGTGGTCTAGAGTAAAAGCTACTGTAGACCCTTCAAAACCTTAAAACCCTGAGAGGATCAAACTGCTCCCAGTGACTCACGTGACTGCCTACCAGAGCAAAGGCTACAACAAAACTCTAGAGTCACCATTAAGTTGAAAATATCAGGCATCCACTAGTTAAAAATGAATAGACCTGCCACGTAGGTATAGGAAAGTACATGAAAAACTCTCAGGCGATAGAAACATATCCAGGAATGACACAACACAAATGGTGGTTTTAGCAGGCAAAGACTTTAAACATCTATTATAAATGCACTCAATATGCTCAGTGATTTAAACGAGGAAATGATGGGAGAGGAGTGAGATTTAAAAAAAAAAAGAAAGCGAATAGAATTTCTGGAAATAAAAAATATCTGAGATGTTTTAAGTTTGATTTAAAAAAAAAAAAATCTCTAAAGGGGATGGATAGCACGTTTAGCACCGTAGGAAAAAAGAAGTAATGGGGCACCGGGGTGGCTCAGTGGTTGAGCATCTGCCTTGGCTCAGGTCCTGGTCCTGAAATCCTGAGATCAGTCTTGATAGAGAGTTCCACATCGGGCTCCCTGCATGGAGCCTGCTAGTCCCTCTGCCTATGTCTCTGCCTCTCTCTGTCTCTCATGAATAAATAAATAAAATCGTAAAAAAAAAAAAAAAAAAAGGAAGTAATGAATTTGAAGAGCAAGCACCAGAAGCAATCCAAAATGACACAATACAGCTTCTGTGGCCTATGGACTATTTTTACTTTATTTATTTTATTTTTTTTTTTTTAGTGATAGTCACAGAGAGAGAGAGAGAGGCAGAGACACAGGCAGAGGGAGAAGCAGGCTCCACGCACCGGGAGCCCGACGTGGGATTCGATCCCGGGTCTCCAGGATCGCGCCCTGGGCCAAAGGCAGGCGCCAAACCGCTGCGGTTTGCGGTAAACCGCTGCGCCACCCAGGGATCCCCTGACCTATGGACTATTACGTAAAGAAGCTGTTTATGTACGTTTGGAAGAGGACTTCAAAAGCCTCCATTGTGGCCTCAAACTTTCTAATTAAGTACTTCCCAGCTTATGGCAACTCAAGCGGGGAAACCCTGAGGGCAAAGTGTTCCCTGATGGAAACCAAAACTACCCTCTCAAGTAATAGGGACAGCCTTGAGCCAGCAAGACCCCACCCATGATTGACCCCAAGACAATGATTGACTTGACCTTCACTGCCCGCCTATATATACTCACAGACCTTTGTCCTGCATTTTCCTTACATAAACCTAGAAGTATTTTAAGCACTTTGGAGACCTCTTTGAGATACTAGTCCACTGTCTTCTCAGTGTTGGCCTCACTGAAATTTCCTTCTTGTTTGACCACACTAGTTCCTCTGCCTTTGGCTTTTGTCAGCAGTGAGTGGCCTAACCTGGTCTGTTTGGGAACCCTGCCTACCCCCAGCCAGGTGCTGATAAATATAAAGAAACTACGTCAGGCCACATCATAATCACACTGGTGAACACAGTGATAAAGAGAAAAATCTTGGGGTGCCCGAGTGGCTCATTTGGTTAAGCATCTGCCTTCGGCTCAGGTCACAATCCCTGGGTTGGAGTCCTGCATTGGGCTCCTTGATCCGCAAGGGGTCTGCTTCTCCCTCTCCCCCATATGGGCTCGCTCTCTCTCTCTCTCCCCCTCAAATAAGTAAATAAATCTTAAAAAAAAAAAAAAATCTTAAAAGCAGCTAGAAAAAAAAAAGGCACAGATCACATAAGAATTTTCATAGACTTCTCATTAGAAGCTCTGCAAGCCAAAAGAAACGATAACTTTAAAGTGCAAAAACAAAACCATCAGCTTGGAATTCTATACTCAGCAGCAGGGTCAAAAAAAAAAGGCTTTTTCAAACAAGCCCAGGAAAGCCACATCCTGAAGCACAGTCATCCCAACTGATTTGAAGACCTGTGAGGAAGAAAAATAAATGCTTATTGTTAAGCCACTGGGGTGTTTTGCTATTCAGTATTATAATAAAAATAGTTTAAAAGTACAGGATCATTTCAAGTTACATGGCCTTGGGTGAAGACATATAATTCCCTAACAGAGAAAAAAAACACATTTGGAAATCTGCCACAGGTATTTTACTTCTGATACCACCTGCTTCCTCCTTAGTGGACGACTATGTTTTCCCTCATAACTACAGGTTTACCTTTGTGTTTATAAGCTAAGATTTATAGACTCAAAAATTATAAAAATATCTAAGATACAAGAGAACCAATACTTTCTTTTTGGTCAGATTTATTCATTTTTTCTTTAAATTATGACTTTGAGTCCTGACACACAACTGCAGAGAACTTGATGAAATACTAATTTCATCTCTCTCTCACCTAAAAGATGCTGTTTCTCTCTCAAAGGAGAAGAAAATGACCCAGTGGACACTGTCAGGAGGCCATATTACATGAACAACAAGCACTAGTTACGAACTGTTCCAGTTGAGCTTTTTGATATATGTGTCAACTGTTAAGTAAAGATTCATTATCAAGGAGTGATAATTTATCTACATTGCAATGAGGTGCTTGTACCTTAGTACAGATGCCTGTATCGATGGGAATAAGATACAACAACCATTCATTCATTCAACAACTATTTATTGAGCACCTGTTATGTGTCAGGAATGAGCATTGAATAAAATAACAAAAATTCTTTGCCCTAGTGGAATTTACGTCCAAAAACTGGAATTAGACAATAAAAGAAATGAGTACAATATTTACATTATGGAGAAAAATTAGGGAGGTAAGGGGAATGGTGAAGTGGTCATGGGGGCCTCAGGAGGTGGTTGCAATTTTAAATAGAGTGGTTATGGGAGGTCTCTCTGATAATGTACTATTTGAGCAAAGACCTGAAGGAGGTGAGAAGTGAAGGAGTGAACTGTGAAGATATTGGGTAAAAGAATTTCAGGCTGAACAAGTAACAAGTAAAATGGACCTGAGCTGAGAACATGCCTGGAATGTTCAAGAAATACCAGTGTCCCATATTTTCCTTTCATTATTTGATATCTGCATGTTGGAAACACAAATGTTTTTCAATGTTGACTTTGCTTTTACTTTCCACATAACACTGAGGGAGAAATGTCAATGATCCTAGTGTCTTCTGCCTAAGAAAATATCCCTAGTTGGACAGCTAAAGAAGAAAGCCTCCCTGAATGTTTCAGATATATGACACAAGCCTAAAAGAGAGGTTTTAGAATTGGTTATTCTCTTATTAACCCCAGTTAAAAAAAAAAAAAGTACCTGTCTTTCATTTAGCTACAGTGTCCCTGGATTAAGCACTGTCAGTAATAGATCCACATAGGGGTATTGTTAGATACTGGAGTTTGTAAATTGTTATAGGCTAAATTGAATATGTAACCTTTGCAGAACTGAATTTGTGTGTAAGTCATTTGCCCATTGTTACCTGATATCACAAGTTGTATTTCTTGTTCTATATTTAGGTTTGTATTTGACGGCCCATCTCTGTTCCATTGGTCTGTGGTGTCTGTTCTTATACCTTTCCCATGCTGTTTTTATTGCTTGGCTCTGCTATGTGTCTTAATATCTTCAAAAAAAAAAAAAAAAGTTCCTCCTCTTTTTGTTCTTTTTCAAGACTGTCTCAGCTATTTACAGATTTTTGGTCTTTTGCATACATTGTGAGACAAGTTTATTGCTTCTCAAAAACCCAACAAAAATTTCTTATTAAAATTGAATTCAGACACTTGTGTGGCTCAGTGGTTGAGTGTCTGCCTTTCAGGTCATGCCATTCAGGTCATGATCCCTGGGTCCTGGAATCAAGTCCTGCACTGGGCTCCTCACAGGAAGCCTTCTTCCTCTGCCTATGTCTCTGCCTCTCTCTGTATCTCTCAAGAATAAATTAACAAAATCTTTAAAAGTAAATAAAT